ATCAATGGCCGTTAAGCGGCATATATGAATCTAATCCAGCCAACATCGAAGGCTAGCCTTGACATCGGGAGTTTATTATGGTCTGGATAAGTTAATTAATGTCTAATTGATAATTTAGATAACATTTCAGGTCTTAAGAAAGACTTGTAATAAGCAGATTTTGCTCTTGCATAATGCATGTTTAATTGTCCTTCACAAAATTTATTCCAATCCGCTGCACATCGCTAGCCATGACATTGTGAGTTGATTATGGTCTGAATAAGTTAGTTAATGTCAAATTTATAATTAAGATAACATTTAAATAAAGAGCTGGTCGTTCGTTAAAACTAGAAAATGCAAAATGAATATTTTGAAAAATTCATTTAAATTACTTTATTCTGAGCCAAGTTATCACTGTTTGTAGTTTTGACAAGATGTGTGCATTATCTTAACCGCGGTGCCGGTATATTCCAGGCTAAGCCTCGCTTCTTCAATTTTAAATTAAATCCTTAAATGGCCGAACCGTTCTAATCTGTGGTTAAAACCTCAAGCATCCGATGGCATCGAGAGTTGATTATGGTCTTTTCATGTTAATAAATGTCTAATTAACAATTTATATAATATTTAAGGCCTAAAGAAAGACCTGCAGTAGGCGAATTTTTCTTTTGAATAATGTATCTTTAATGTGTCAACTATATATTTATTTTGGGATTGCGTCGGGGGACATCAGCCTCACTGTTGGCTTGTTTTGCTTACTGTGATATCTGGTATCGCTGCCTATTCGTCGGAAGAAACAAATGGATCGTCAGATATTGGTGGAAGCTGACGTAGTTACTTTGCGACACGTTCAACACGAAGCTTTGCCCGAAATATTGAAGATGTTTTACAGCAAACCCGAGTATCTCTAAACGTCAATTACAGGGTCTCCGTATTCACAACTATCTTGCATCGAAGAAGATTTTATCAAAGTTGGTGGTCGACAGTGTCACTCAAATAATTGCTCGACATCATCACAAGAAAACTGTTCATCAAGCAAGATCCATAAATTATGGCGCCATTTGTCAAGCTAGATACTTGATCATCGCTGGTTGCATTGTTGTCAGTCCTATGATACAAAATTCAAAATTGTATTCACTGTTAAGTTTTACAGAAAATCCCAAGATGGCAAGCTACCTGAAGCCTAGCTCCCTTAACAAAATGTTGGTATGGAAAGAGAAGACCTGTCTGTCTGTCGTCTTCCATCTGGAGATGAACAATTTTAGTATTCAGTTTAACGAGCACCACGTCCCAAACGAAAATTAGGGATGGGGATGGGCATGGTGATTAGACCTTGAACCCGAAAAAAATATTTTGACGGTGCATGAAAGACAATTTACGAATTGACAGAAGTAGGCCTAATGAAAATAAAGAACGTCTAAATTGTATATTAGAATACTTGTGTACAAAATAAGGTTATAGACATATATTTATTTTTGTAAGTGTATTGTATTATATAGTACTTTGAGTACGAATAAATATATATTATTAAATATAAAAGAGAATGAAGTACACAAGTTGTTTTCGACTAGAAAATCCAATATTTTTGTTGATCAACCTCATCCCCAGGCTGAAAGCTCATATGAACCTTTCTTCAAATTTTGCGTTATTCCTGCACCAATATCTCTTAAAATAAGATTGCATGTAAATCAGTACCAACTAACTGTAAGCCGCTTCACGCAGTTTTATTGAAAAATAAAATAAATATTTCGAAAATGAACATGCTCATTCATTGCTCTAAACAGTATAAGAAAGGATGCATTACATTAAAAAAAACAGTTGCTCTCTGTCTTTACCGTAAGTTGGAGTCTTACAAAGATACTAGTTAATTCATATTTCCTTTTCATTGCATTTTACTTTGAAATCATATATAGTATTTAAATATGCTTACCTGCATCAGTTGTCTCTGCCTGAACAAGCTTGTCTTTCATATATTTTCCTGCAACTCTGATGTATGAGGCAATACAAGTTTTTGGCAAATAATGCAAGAGACGTTGTTTTTTTTACCTTCACAGATCACAGCTTAATCCACTCTTTGGCGTACGAAACAACTTTATCCCAGGTTTTCTCAGTGAAACTCAAAACTATTCCTGTAGTTTTTTGGTCTAAATGCACTAAACATTTCATTTTATCGGTTCTCAAATCTGATTTTGCATTTTCCGTAAAGGACGCCATTCTGGAAATCGCAGCGATTTCATTAGCAGTTATTTGCTAGTTGTCATCGCTGGATTCCAATCTGATTAAAACACAGCTCCTATTTCGTTTCGTTTTTTTATAGTTCAAAATTGCGTCTTACTTATCTTTACTACACTAGGACCTGGAAGAGTTGTTATATGAGTTGTTATATAACCCGCGTAATGGATGATGTGAGGGATTAGCCAATGAAACGGTCTGTTACATCGAACTTTAGGTAAACCACTAGAAACGTCAACGCTGATTGATTAATCAATACCTGACGCGACCTTCCACTACAACTGACCAGATCATCATGTAGTGTAGGCTGTCGAACGTATAAAAAACAAAAACAAAATATAGATCTGTATTTTAATCAGATTGCGCTGAATCCGCGACAAAATGAAATATTAAAATAAGAAAATAATTTGAATACCTGTTAGCAGATTTTTCGCGCGTGGGACCTCGTTTCGGCAACTTGGATACTTTATTGAATTTTCAAAAATATTTTTAGCCACAACACCGATGGGTGGAACAAAAAGTCATAAAAAACGACCCAGCCTCTGGCCTATAACTAAGATAACTAGAACAAACTTCGATGATCACTAGGATTGATCGTTAAACGCCAAATGACGTCATCAGTGCGAAGCGGAGTAACTCGAATTCTAGTATTACGAAAATCGTGGACAGAAATGTGCATCCCATACTCGGTTGATCCGCGTTATTCTCCTTGTCAAGTCAATTAAGGTTGAACTCTTCTTTCATAATCAGTAACTTACTTTTTGAAGGTGTGAAAAAAACATCATTCCCTTTGGGCTGTTTCTGAACAGTAATGCCCGAAATTTGAAATGGGTCGCTGCGCGACAATGGCTACTCGCCATATGGGGCCAGGCGTTCAGCAATAACAAACGATGGATAGGGTAGGCTTACTAAGTTTAATGTATCTAAGTCTCTAACTCAATAATACAAAATCATCCAAAGTCTCTGACAATGAAAACACGAATTATTTGTCAGTTTAAATCAACTTTGATGATGTGATCTTACAGGGAAAAGACAAAATAAACAATTTACCATCGGTATACGAATCGTGTACCATAATGTGTTTCAGTGCCATTTGTAACAAGGGACTCAAAGAACGAGGCTAGACGTATTCCACAAGTTATGTCAAATGGTGACGTCATATTTTATCTGGAGAGTATGCGCAATAAATACTATCGGTGTAGACTGGAATAACCAGGCGGTAGAGATTGCAATTCGATTGAGACTTCTGGCGTATTTCGCGGAACATAACGGATTAGAAATTACAGTAAAAACAGAAAAGAATGGATGTAAATCAGTTTATATACATTCGTAATACATTATTATATGCGTTGCTACCCATTTGAGTCAATTTCTAGGTCCCAAATATTAGCGATTTAGCTCCTTTAATATAGACAGGTCCATATCAGAACTCCGAACACGTCACGAATAAGATGATAAAATCATGACAGCAGGCGCGTGTCCGGGGTGGGGGGAGGTGAGTGTTGTTGCGTGGTTATCAGATAAGACACGGTCCAATGACACATGCTCGCGCAAAAGATTTCTTATCCTACATTCATCGAAATAACGTCGAACAAACAAACGTGCGAAGCATACCCGCCGTTTTAGATTCACTCCATTTGACGTTGCCTCCATTGCGGACCACCCTACAGAAATTCCAGGAAATTGCCGAGAGAACAAAATATGTAAAAAAAAAAAAAATAAAAAAAAAATAAAAAAAAATGATTATTCAATATGAACATAAAAAGATAAGCTGTGGTGACCTGTATAAAAAACAAAAAAAAGCAAACCTTCTACGGTCCTTGGTTACAATTCGATACCTATGAATCACCACAACAGTATCGGTACTTCCATGAATATAGTTATTCTTGATAATGGAGATCACTGGGCTTTCAAAATTCTAAGAAGGGACAGTGTGCTTATGGAATAAAATAATCTGCCAGGCTTGGAAATATCTCTTGTCTGTAGAAACCTCTACATCGAAAAATTAAATTATGATGGTTCATGATTAAAATACCCCATCTCCATGCAAGGCCTAAGTAACATCACAGTGTTTAAATTGAAATGTAGATATAGCTGGTGTTATCCACGTAACGGGTTATTTATGTTGTTACCTGTATGTTTTATTTTTCGTGCAGTGCGGTCACCCTGCACATATTATTTTGTGTTGCACATTTTCCGAAAAACTTAATAGTAGCACTAAGATTTTCACTTTAGAGAATCCACTTAATATTGCTTTATTTTGTCCAATATGTCCTTTTAAACTATGGAGCCATGGTGACTCAGTGAGTGAGACGTTTGCTCGCTAACTTGAAGGTACCGTCCCCGTGTTCGATCCCTGCTTTGGCCGAGAAAGTTCATCAGGATTTTCCGGCGTGGTTCCTCCCCTTGTCAGTGATGCAGGACAGAGAGCTTGGCAATACACAACGTATAGTTGTTCGGGTGGTACGAACGAAAAATTGAGATCCCGCGTACACATTGGTGTGTACTTTAAAGATCCCTTATTAGTTGAAAATCGATATAAGAGTAGGTTGTAGTGCCGCTGTCCGAGCAAAATTTCTCTCATATCACACTGTATGGCGCATGTCCGTCTTCGTTAGTCCAGTCGGGACAGAAACGTAGGACATTAAACCCCATTTCATTTCATTTCACTTAATCTTCAGTGCTTTTTTATTAGCATTTGTAAGAGTGAATCATTCGTGTCAATTGTTTTATTTTACCGAGCGTGAGTTACTCGGGTAATACGGGACGCGACCGAATTACCCACAATTCCTTTCGAGCTGGTCGTTGCCATTTTGGACTTCTCGAAGAAAAGCTAACCTGCTTTGTTTTAATTTTCCTACAACAAAACAATTAATTATGTCTTACCGACCAACTAATGACAGCAGAATATATGTCGGCAATCTTCCACCAGACATAAGAAACAAGGATATTGAAGATTTATTTTACAAATTTGGACGAATTACATTTATTGACTTGAAAAACAGACGCGGTCCGCCATTCGCTTTTGTTGAATTTGAAGACCCAAGGTAAACATATTTACATTGTTTTTCATTTAAATCTAAAAGAAGAATGATTGGGAAATATGCGACAACAAGCAAACATATTCACAGCAAAGATAATTCTGAACATTTTAAAATTACAAACCAATTGAAACGGGCACAAATAATTATAAAGACAAACAAAGTCCTCCAGAAATTAAAACAGTAGGCTAACTCAGTTTGTAAGAACAGCCACAGGGAGCAGACTGGGCAGTTCACCAAAAATGTGGAAAACGGGGAGTGATATTTGAATCTGTACAATTGATTTTTTTAACTAGCTGGCGTAACCTGGTTACTGTACATGCAGTAGGCCTACACATGTATGGTATGTGAGTATGGCCAGTGTAAGTATTTTAAATTTTACAATTTCTAAAAGTCTAGTCCAAAACATTTACATTTAAGGGATGCTGAAGATGCAGTACATCACAGAGATGGATATAATTATGATGGTTACACACTGAGAGTCGAATTTCCACGTGGAGCAAGTGGAAGTGGTGGAGGCGGACCCAGTGATGGAATGGGTAGCGTTGGTGGTGGTGGTGGAGGAGGAGGAGGAGGATATAGTGAGCGTGGCAGAGGAGGAGGAGGAGGATTTCAACGGAGTGAAAGAGGGGGATTTGGTGGTGGAGGTGGTGGCGGTGGAAGAGGTAGAGGCGGGCCCCCATCACGACGTTCGGAGTTTAGAGTTCTTGTTTCTGGTATGATGATAGTTTAGACCTACTGTAAATTACTGTTTCTATTACTAGATCATAAAAGGCAAAATTTCCTCCTGCACAAAAACTACAAATTGGAATGACATTTTGAATTCTGTAAATAGAGGTTAGGTATGAGGCTATCCCGATTATCATGGACGCCATTGCATTCCACTGTGACATGTTGCATAATTTGCCGATCGTATTTAGGGACTCCCTTGTACCTGGTTTCTCATTGCTTTCTTGTTGGGTATTTTTAGAATATTCCATGTCATAACGTAAGAGGAAAAAAATGTATAGCCTCGTTTTCAAAAACAAAAATGTCAAATTTTTTTTTCATGATGAATTTGGCTCATTGTCAGATCACCTAAAATAACGGATTAAGTGAAAGGAATTCTTTCTAAAATATAAGGAACATTAAAATAACCATTAATCTTCATATTGTTGAAATATTGACTGGAATGCATTGATGGTTTAGTTTGGGGCGTCATGGCCGTTGAAATCGACCTGATTAAACCATTATTTGAAAATAAATGGCGTGTATTCTAATTCTAGTCTTTCACCATTTGATTGCAATTGAGGTTACATGATCAAAATATAAGTCACATATCATTCTATAAATGAATTTGATGCAACAGGAAAATTAAGTCGATTTTCAAAGACTAAAATTTTTATAATAACTGATTCCATGACCGATTTTGACTATTTTGGTGTCATTTTGTTTCTTTTTCCATGATACACCTATTGCAATGATAAAAACCCATTCCAACACACTTATTTATTTTTATCTTGTACCTATAAAGGTCATTGGGTTGATATTTAAAAGAAGTTTATGACATGAAACTTCTAACTAAAAGGGCCAAGTAGTTTGGGTGGTACATCTATAGGTTTTGTATAATAGGAAGCAACAAATTTTGATTATTTCTGATAATTACTGAATGGGTTGTTAATCTTGATCAGTTTTTAGTGTCCGATAAAGGTTGATATAACCTAGAAAAATAAATATGTGACAACCTGTGGAGACCATTTTCTGTTACCTGACAAACTATCTTTACAAATCCAACAAAAAAATAATATAAAAAGGCTAAGAATACTGAAAATAAAAAACATTTTGACAGGTAGTTGGCAAGAATTAAAAGATAACTCCACATAAAAATGCATTTAATAAAATGATTAATAAAACATTTTCAGGTCTACCACCAACTGGTAGTTGGCAAGATTTAAAAGATCATATGCGAGAAGCTGGAGATGTTTGTTATGCAGATGTTTTTAAAGATGGTACTGGTGTCGTAGAATTTCTGAGAAAAGAAGATATGAAATATGCTGTGAAGAAACTAGATGACTCAAAATTTAGATCACACGAGGTTTGTGTTTCAAGATTTGTACTATACTTTCTTCCCACCTGTCTACTCCTATATTTGGCTTCACTATGCTTCTGGGTATGTGTCCATTGACAACACTAGGGCTTCACTGGAACACAGAAATATGTGTTTTTAGGCCACATTAGGGTTTCGCCATAACACTTGAGGTGTCCACCTTATAACCCTTTAGAGCAAACTGAGTCACCGTTAATATTTTACAAATTGATGGATTTACTTTAGTAGTTGAAAACTTTAAACGAAAATATACGAAATTAATCTGAGAAGATATGTATTATTTTTCAGGGAGAAAATTCATACATTAGAGTAAAGGAAGATTACAGGGGTGGTGGTCCAGCTGGAGCTATGGGCAAAACATCAAGATCTCGAAGTCGCAGTTTCTCACCCAGAAATGCTCGTGGTTCACCAAGATACTCTCCTATGCGTTCACGTTCTCCTTCATTTAACCCTCAAAGGGGAAGAATGAATCGTTCACGATCACCTTATTGAAAAAGGGATTGGATCCTTTCACCACGATTATATTATATTGAACATTCTTGTGAAAATGCCAAATCACTTTAAAATTAGTCATATTAATTGTCTTGTCTGACAAAATATTATAATAAACTAAAACACATTTCAGCTAATTAATAAGCAATCTGGTGTCTTCACAAAAATGTCTTTACTCTGATCATTTATAGTTATTACATGTCATGAATTGTAGCACCAAATTGTTATCCAGGCATTTTAACCATTTTCATCAACTTGCTTTTTTTTATCGTATCAATTGTACATACAGGGGAACATAAATATTCACAGTTTTCAAAATCAAATCTATTTAAATGAAACCATTCTTATTACCATAAATCTAGTCATTGAAATGTGACATGACAATATCTGGGGTGTGGAGTTTTTAAATAATAATGCAACTGGTTTGTTCACATGTTAATAATTTTTTACTTTTTTATTGAACAGTTCCTATGGTGGAATCGTCTTAGGAAGATCTTTCTGGGATAAGATTCCACTCACTTTAGTAAATGGACTGCATTAGCCAATATGGACATCAAGGGACATGGGATGTATATACTGGACTGGTGGGGAGGATTCAACGTTTTAAGGATCATTAAGTGCTAAAAATTACAAGGAAGGAATCAAAATTCAGTTTTGTTGCTTTAGCGCTCTTGGAATGGATTAATCTTGTAGGATGGCATGCGGTCGATATTTAGGTTATTAGGAATAATCATGTTAGTGTTACTTAAACGATCCTTAGAGATTGCAAGCCAGGATTCAGGTGCAATCTCAAGGAATACTAAAATGCTTGAAATTGAACCTTAAGGATGGTAAAAACTAACAGTCACTTTCCAAAATTTCAACCAAATAAATTGCGATGGATTAAGACCAACCTTAAGGATTATATGGAAAAAGTCCATATTCAGCCTTGAGGATCGTATAGGCAAAAGAAAAGTAAGCGTTTAATCATGCAAAACAACAAACCTTAAGGATTACTAAGAGGGGTTAAATTTTTTGGGGGGATTGAGACCAGATTCTGCTCTGAATATCAAGGATCTTAAAGAAGGATCAAAAGTATACCTTAAGGATTACTAGGAAGGATTCAAACTGGACCTTAAGGATTGCTTGGATGGATTTGATATACATCTAGGATCACTAGGAAGGATTTAAATTAAACTGTAAGGATCGATTTGAGGAATTGCTAGTATGGATTGGAACGAAACTTAAGGATTGTTAGGGAGGATTCTAAAATAATTTTGATGGATTCAGAATGAAACCATAAGGATTGCTGAATTCATACTGCACCTTTAGGAACGTAAGGAAGGATTTAACTGCCCCCGTTTAAGGATTGTGAAAAAAATTCTATGTATCGAGAAGGATTCACACTACTCCTTAAGGAAATTTGGCCAGGATTCAAACCATCCTTAAGGAACTAGAATGGATTCATGCTAACCCTTACGAATTTTAGGGAAGGATTTAAACTAATCCTTAAGGATCATTGGGGAAGATTCAAGCTATATCTAAAGGATCATTAGCGAAAATTCATGCAATTCATTGGGATCACGGGGAATGAATCCTGCTTAACCTTAAGATTAACAGAGAAGCATTCATGCTTAACCTTAAGGATCATGATAAAGATTTGAACTAAACATTAAGGATATTTAGGATGGATTCAGGTTAAGATGTTTTAAGGATCATTGGGAGGATACAAACTGTACCGTATGAAATTTTGAGATTCAAGCTAAGAGATTGCAAGCATGGATTTATGCTAAGTCTTAAAGATCATGGGTAAGGATTCTAACTAAACTTAACGGACCGTGGGTTCACACTGACCCAAAGAATCAATAGGATTGGTTCCAACTGACCCTTAAGGATTACTAGGAAGGATTCATACTTAAGCGTAAGGAATACTAATCTCAATTTCAAAATGAAAATCATAGACTAAATGGATTACTACTAGACATAAGTGAACTATGGTCTGATAGGATGAATTCAGTATCTACTGTAAAGATTTCAGCTTGGGACTTAACTTCACTTACCATAAGGAATGTTAGGTACAGTATCATTGAAACAAAACCTTTGAGATTAATAGGAAATGTAATAGGAATTTTAGGATTTATAGGAATTTTTTAAATAAAACTGAGGGATTACTGTGGGTCCATACTCCATTGGAACTTTCATGTAGTATATATCATTAGTCAAAAATTAGTACACAATATTAAATGTTGTGTTGTGAAATATTTAGACTAGGCATTATACCAAAAACAATGTAGAGTGCATGGAAAGTAGGGGGAATTGAATGACTTTATCTTTCTTTTTCAAATAAATTAAATGTAGCTTAGAAAAAAGCGATCTTGAAATTAAAATGTCAAGGGATCGTTAACATCTACATTTAAAATGTTCCCTATTTGTTCATCATGGCCCATGTGTGATATTACCATTGCAAATGGATGCCTTAGGAGGGACTCTTTTTAGGATGGAAAAAGGACCAATAGAACTTTGGAAAAGGAAAAAAATATACATGGGAAATTCATAGGAAAAGACAACGTTGGATTTAAGTTTACGGGCAGTTGGGATAACAACTTTCGGATCTTAAATGATAATGCTTCTTTTTGTCACTGCATTTGGAGCTTCTCATAATCTAAGCCTGCAACAACTCGCCTTGGATCATCACCTAAGTGAATTCATTCTGAGGTTGTATTTGCGGCAAGGCAAGATAATGGAAAGGAGCCTCATTTAAGGATAGGAATAAATTTCGCATTGGAACTATGGTAAGTAATCAGTAAACGTAAGTGTGTTCATTTTCTCCCTCGTCTTTGAACATTTTTATTGGTCCTTTTCCAAAGTTTTAAATTGTATCATCTAATGAACATATTAATCATAATTCATTATAATGATTTTAAAAATGGCATGTTTTGTCTAATAAAGTAATAATATCATGCAATTCTGAAGGTTGTTATTTGTATATCTGAAAGGTCCGCACGTTCACTAGAATAGCAACAATGTTTGGAATTTGGCCTTTTTTTACCATTGGCTGAATTTAGTCGATTAAACTATTCTTGGAATACGTGTAAGTACATGTAGTTGAAACAAAGTTGTAGATTTGATTGGTATCTATTGGCTAAAAACAATCTGATTAAAACCCAGATCCTATTTTTATTTCGGTTTTTTATAGTTCAAAATTTCGTTTTACTTGGTTTTACTACACTAGGATCTGGAAGAGTTGTTATAGTTGATGTGAGTGTTTGTCGTGCTTTGCACGGAAATGTGGGTATTTCAGTAGAAACATCAATGCTAATTACATGTAGTAAATCAAAATTCTAACATCATACATGTAGGGTCAAAAGCTGCGTGTATGACCCCTAACGCGACCTCCACTACAGCTGGTCAGATCCTCATGTAGTAGAGATCATAGAAAGTATAAAAAAACAAAAAAAAAACAAAATATAGATCTGTAGTTTAATCAGATTGGACTGAAAACGTCGATTGAATTTTTGGAATATACGAGAAAATGCAACATTGTTGCGAGTTTTATTGCTCTGCATTAGCTGAAAGTGTCAAATCAATTGGTGGAAAAATGGGGAAATTAAAACAATGTTGCGCATTTGATTGCTCCCTATTGGCTCAATGTGTCCAATCAATTCTTGGAAAAAATGGTTAAATACCCTTGTCAGTGTGGGTGCATGGCGTACATACATTTGTCGGGGTGGGTGCATCATTACATTCATTTCATTGTCAGGATGGGTGGTTCTTTACATTTCATTTTTAGGTTGGGTGTGTTACGTCAGGGTGTGTTATGTCATTATCAGCGTGGGTGCGTTACATCAGGGTGTGTTATGTCATTATCAGCGTGGGTGCGTTACATTTCATTGTTAGGGTGGATGCGTTATGTCCGGGTGTGTTATGTCAGTGTGGGTGCTTTATATTTCATTGTTAGGGTGGATGCGTTAGTATTATTGTGAGAGTTCGTTACAGGTGTGCATTTACAAGTGATCATCAGTCGTAAATATGACAATAATAGATATCGATGGACTAGTGTGCATTTGCCATATATCTAGCCCTCCTCCCCACGGAGGATGAATTTGTCTATTCATCACACCCATTGAAACACAATCACACTGCTTTTAATAGAGGAAGATTGTCCTAACTTGATGTAAATATTCATTATGTGAACTTGACTGAGTTCTAAGATGAGTATTTTCTGCTTAGTCTAAGCAGAAATGTGCAATTGATTTGTCAATTCTTTGAAACATGTTAACTTTGATTCTGAGAGAGTGATAAAACTTGGTGTAGGGTTTCATTTCACCAATATCTGGACTACGGTAAGTTCAATAATGAGCATTTCCTGCCCAGGGTAGTATAGGGATAGCAAAATGTTGGCCAAATGCTTAATAGAAAAGATTATTCTGAAAGACACATACATGTTTAGGTAGTTTATGTATCTACTTTGGGATTAAGCCTCATTGTTTGGCCTTGTGAAACCAATGGATAAAGAATGTGAAAAGGGTACATATTGCCAAATTGAGGCACATTTGCTAAGGGGATATTTCACGTAAAATGTATAAATTGAAATTTGTTGTGATGAAGTTGATCAGTTGGGTAATTGACACATGTATATTTAACCAGATATTGTGGTTTGTTTTAACATTTTGACTACCTGATGGAATCAACCCGATTCATGGGCATATCATGTCCAAAAACATTTTTTTGCTTGTGTGGTAAGCAGGGTCGATTTGAAAAGAGATACATGTAATGTATGTGACGTAAAATGTGAACAATCATTGTGCATTGAATTCGTTTGCCAGAAGTTCTATAAACATGGAAAATTGGTTTACATGGGTAAACAAGGCCACAATACAAATTACCTGTAGGCCCGACCAACTCTACTTTTCTGTAGCCCAAATCGTCAACCCTAAATCTTAATCTGTGGTCTTATAAATTTGTCTTTGCATGGTTTTCTGCAGACAAATTCCACTACTGAAATTTCTTTATTTATAACAGTTCGAAACAGCATTATTTTCAATAATTAAATGCTGGGAAATAAATAAACACTTTTGCAAGATTTAAACGCTATAAACTACAAGTATAGATGTAGGTTATTAAAAGATTAGTTCAGTCTGTTCTATCCAATCTTACCCCACAAATTGGCACAAGCCCCACAAAAAAAAAGACTGACTGACAAGGCTTTTTTTTTTGTGACTAAGCAACTATAAACACAGGTAATTTTTTTGATTTAGCCCAATCGGATCCAAATACATATTTTCAACACTTTGAAAAATCAATAGCAGCTATAAATTTTAAAAAATACATTTATTTGTAGGTTACAAAATTGATTACACTGTAAGTATGGTTCCTGAAACAGAAGTGGGCACAAGAAAAAGTTACACTAGATACATCATGTAACCAACAAATAGTTCAATTGATCTGCTCTGTGCAGGAAGATTATTCAAATCCAAATTCTTTACATTTCTCGCATGCAACTTATCACACTCATGGTCATATCATATGTGACTCGCTCGAGCTAAAATATCTGCATGGCGCACAGCATCGTACATGTATTTCAGTACATAAGTAGGTAAAAAGTAGCATGCATCAACCAATATGCTAACACAAAGGAAAAAACCTGCCCATTTAAGTGTTTTTGCAGTACCATATCAAGCGAACTGCCAGGGCTTTCACAACAAACCTTTAGAATTAAATATTAAATCTGAATATATCAATAACTCAGTTTTCATTTTTTGACCTATGAGGATCCTTTAACCAGAGCTGGTCACATATTTGAAAAGTATATTCTTATTAAATAGTCCATAACACTAGCAATCCTTCCCAAAACTCTTTCCATGTGATTGTAACCCTCTTGAGTTATCTTGTCACTCATATACTATTCTTTATTATTATTGAATTTTTTAACTAGTCAGTTCATCCTTTATTCTTAGATTTCAAGGGAATATTTCCTGCAAATAGAAATAAAGACTGATAAAATTTGACAGACTATCAATTAATGTGAAGTGTCAACTAAAAAAGAGAATACACTACTTACAAGAGTTATTTCCCTTGGCACAGCAGACAAGAAATGAGAGAATAAATCATATGCAAGTTAAGATTTATCATACTGATGATAAAAGGAATACAAACCCCCAAAGGAAAACAGAGAGAGAATACTGAATATAGATTTCAAAATATTCTTTCAGAGAAATTTGATCTTTCCAAATTTCTCCTGTATCAAATATCCTCAAAACAATCAATTCATTCAATAAAGCAATTTATAGTGTGTTTCAGAATCTCAGAAAAAGAAAATTTGGAATTAAAGTTTGAAATTAATTTTATTTATAAAATAATAATATTGCTACTTTAAGTAATCACCTGGTGGGGCTACAAAATAATCTTCTTCTGTTTTTACTGCATTCATCAACACTTCTTTCTTACAGTTACCTTCTATCACTTCATCTTCCCTCAAATACACAGCACTGTAATATAATAGAAACCATAAGAGTGAGAGAGAAATGGGGTCCACTAGGTTATTTTGAGACTATCATATGGTTCAATGTTATTTCAATAATTGCTTGCAGGTACGTACGGGTCTTTCGTGGTAGAAAACTGGATGACCCAGAGATGTCAAGTACAAACGGTGAATAGAAACCACACAATTCGGCCACCCAACACCCCTAGAATCCCTGAGTAAGCTTTATCAATCTTCTTGGTGATGGGTAATGCATAAAACTTCAACAAGAGCTCACCACTTAACTTTTGATTCATTTAATAATCAAAAAGCCATTTTAATATTCATGAGTTGAGATTTTTTCTATTTATGTGTATAAATTTCAAGGGATTAAATTCCATAAACATGCAGTTACATTTAAACATATACTTGAAAACTTTATCCAAATTAGCATCTTATTTCAGCCAAGTATGCCTATCAAATGTGGTTGATCGAGCTTGGAAAGTGTCATGAGTAAGCTGCAAGGTAATCCTACAAATGACGTCAAACTGATAAAACCCAATTGCAATACATTTTATCATCAAGTTTATGTAACAGATCTTTCATACTGTAAAATACCGAGTACAGAATAAAATATTTACACCTACCACAAAGAGAATGATATACTGAAGTCTAATAGGACAAATTGCCATTTTTGGACTTTGAAGCTCCAAAAATCAATCTTTATGTAGATTAGATGTGTCACACATTTTGGTCACTATTCTAATTCCCACACAATTGAGTGAAGGAAACCTCCCTGACTAAGTCAGTAGGAAGCATTGTTGGAATTGAAAACATTGGGAGAAAGACAGAAATGGGTTTAACGTCCACCTGACACAAACCAGGTCATTTCAGGACTAACATATGGTTCAATTTTATTTCAATAATTCGCTTGCGCATAGCAGTGGGAGGACACCGGAGGACAGGCGACCCTACTCCTTGACATGTACAATCGGGGAATCGAAACCACGCCAGTTGGCTCAATGACAGACCGTATTATACAGCGCGCACGCACAAACCATTCAGCCATCCACCCCTCCCTCTAAAAACATTGGACAAAAGGGACGAAACAATCCCAATTGCATTGCCCAATATGTACAAGCAGAAAAAAACATCACACAACATTTACATCAGTACCTGTTTTCTAAAACAGTATCTAAAGGTTTGACACCTTCTGTTACAACAACATGGAGTTGGTTTGCTGTTTTTATAGCTTCAGTTAATCTATCAATAGCTTCTTCATTATTCAACTCAACCAAACCCAATCTCTCTAACTGATTTACCTGTTCTTTACTTATTTTTGGAACCTGAAATAGTAAATTTTTATTAAAAATAAATGGTCCAGGGACCTTATTCATCCTTCAGATATGAGTATGTATGCATAGAATATTTTGCTTTACTCCTTTATTTTCCCCAGTAGCGCCTATTATTATAAACCATACCTTTGGTAAGTTTTCAGAATTTTTCAAATTATTCCATGTTGAAACCAAAGGTACCTGAAGTGGAAGATCAACAAAAAATTAATTATTATTATAAAATCTAGAGCAGGATTATCGGTAGGCCTATATACCAAATGGTTCAAAATGGGCAGCAATAGGCCTACTATTAGACGGAGTCACCACAACGCTCTCTGAAGTTTAGCACAAGACATTGGATTCGCTTTCTTTTTGAATGACTGTCACCAACGGTGGGTAGGCCTACTCCTTGTCAGCCTTGCAATAGGCCTTTAATAATTGCCCATGCCATGGGAATATATTTATTATAATAGGCCCTCTTATGTCAGAAAAAAATCTCTACACTTTGGCTTTGGGCCCTAGCAGGTTTCAAATCATACGAATTCTGTTTCATACCAATTAAACCACGTCCTCTCACTCAAAATCTAGTTGACACAATGTAGGCCTACTACTATACTAGTACTACTACTAGTTAAGGCTACTCATCTGATTGATGTAGGCCTAGGCCCTAACATTAACAATTTAAGTTTTATTTCATCAATTATATCAATTGTATAACAATCGGCGTACGGTAATTACTTTGGTATGTACATGCTTGTTGTACAACAAATATTGCCTTCCTAACAAAACAAAACAGTTAACTTTAAGCATTTCAGTTGCATTCTTTCCAGACTCTTTTCATAAAATAAAATTTACAGTGCAAGGGCACTTGCTTGATTGGCGTAGGGATATATATCTAGGGTCTTGTTAAAATACTACATAGATAATAATTTGAACATATATCATTACAAACATAAATTGATCCATGGCACTTTTGTTGCAGTTTTAAAAGATTTCACCGGTGATTGGTATTAGTAATTAATAATGATTCTCAGGACTATATACCGGAAATGAAAGTTGTTTGTTTACAGGGAGTTGCTAGGCACTTCCGTTATTTCATAAACGTGTTCTGAAATCTTTTATCCTAAATTCAAAATGAATAGTATTGGTGAAGAATGTACCACTCTAAAAAGAAATTACGAAGATTGCTTTAATAAATGGTTTTCAGAGAAATTTTTAAAAGGAAATAATGAGGACGACTGTGCTCCCCTTTTTAAAGTGTATCAGACCTGTGTCAAGGTAAAGCTGAATATTTACATTTCTAATTTGAGAGACATTCGACATTTCTGATGAAATCGTAGATTATCATACCATTATTGATTATTTGAATTAGCTTATCGGAGCAAACCAACTCAACAATTTCTTTCAAAGGAGAAATTACAGTTTTTGCTAATGTCTCCATGGAAAAGTTTGATTAATATTAAAGATACTTTCCCACAAATGTATTTATCGGGTGGTTATTTCCAATAAAAGTATGACAATTTTGGTATATGGAAAGTGGTTCACCCAATCTTTCTAGAAAAATATTGCATTCCTTTGAAACACTGGATTCCTGATGCACACACAGGACAAATGAGAGGGTGTTAAATTGCATGCGAAGATAGTCTGATCTCTCAGCGTTTGGGAGCACTTGATGTATATGTTGATAAACTTGATGCTGAAGTTGACTAGGAAAAAGTGAAAGACTTAAACATGTAACAGTTTCTGAGATAAAAATCTTGGAAAAAGACGTGGGCAGTGGATAATCCGAGAATTTAATTAGGCTTTGATAAATGGACAGCGATTAAAGACAACATCGTTTTTTATATGCAATGAATTTTCCTCTGGCTTCGCACCCGTTGCTCGGTACCGCGACAGCTAAGTCACGTTACACAAATATGACTTCTGAAAATAGATTTTTTTATAGCTTGGGGTATTAAATCACAAATACATTGTTTTGAGAAGGATTTGAATCAAAATTTTGATAGATTAATTAGTTTGAATATGTTTTTAGTCCCATCACCTGGGAAGTTATCTTTAAGTAAGCTTATGCAACTGTGAATGTCAAGTAATATTGAGCCGTTTGTTTGGAAATGATCTTCAAAACAATATATTATAGGCCTATGGGTTACGTAACATTTTTAAAGTCTCACCTCTGACTTAATAAACCTGACAATTCCATAGGCTAGTGTTAATGATAATATTAATATCACAATTTTAACCCGGTAATATTACATTAACAATATAAGGTCTATTTATTTTATAGAAAGCCATTAAAGAAAAAAATCTAGATTTAGATAGCATGGAAAAAGATGTACTTGGGACAGAATTTGAGAAACCACCACCTCCAGTGTCCAAATAACTCAGTAAAGAAGATAAATGCATTATATCATGAATGTGTGATCCATGTATGTTCATCATTCATATCCCTTTGTTCTGAAGTGAGAGGCCAGTGTGATATTGTTTTTTTGTAAGGTTGTTTGTAGAAATGGAGCTAATATTAACATTTCCTTATTTGTACTAGATGCAAAGAACTATCATATTGATTTGTGATGAATGCAATTTTATATAATTGTTGATTTGTAAAATGTCTTGTTTACTTGTAGATGTACATACTAACGAAAAGAATCATTAAATAGAACTGGATTTATGCCAACATGCTATAAGAATTTATTTATTTTTAAAACGCCTGTCAGCTTTTACAGTGATTGTTAGTTTTTGCCGATAACTAACATTATTTAAAGTTACTGACAGTTCATAGCTCTTGCCCTAATCTTAAGTAATGGATGTTTTTCCCTCATCTATAGATCTTATCATGCGAGAAACTGTACATGTCTAATCAGTTAATTAATTGCTTTTTTGTACATTATTAGAGAGAGTATATTTTTATATTGAATATAGAATACTGAGACAGTACAAATGTACATGTACTTGAATATTATAAGTTAATAAAATTTTGTTAAGTAAATGAATATCTGATTGTTAATTTTTTTGTCTGTTACATGTATATCTTATTAAACAGATTTCCCTTGATTTGATTCAGTTATCCAGCACTATTGTTTAACACTCGTCACCACTAGTTTTGTTTTTAAGTCCTTACCTTATCATACCACAGCAAGAACTGGGTGTGGAATCTTTTGTAGCACAATGGTGGGAGTCACCATGCAAATTTGGTTGAAATGATGCTGTTGATTGATTTTGTATTACTGACAGATAGTAAGCCGCTGTTGCTATTGCAAATCATTGCTAAGAAAAATAGTCTCTTCTTGCTAACCTGAAACAACAGATCATGTCATTAAGTATGTAACATGTTTGAGATGTTAATCATTATGGAAAAATCTGCCAAAAATTTGATTTCTGATCCCCGAGTCCAGTTTACATACAAAGACATAAGCCAATCCAACCAGTACCATCTAATTTCTGCTTCCCCAGTCCATTTTACATAGAAAGACAGACAATCCAACCAGTACCACCTCATAACAGAGCTATGATAGACTGGTGGCCAGTCAATGAGGGCCTGAATGCAAGAAGATTTCCCTTTATTTATGTTGTTATATCTGAAATCCTTGCATCAGCATAGAAAACGGTTGTCTTGAAGAAGCGGTCAACTATAAGGCTGTATGCATGTAGCTCAAATCTTACTCAAAATATTGTAATGTTTCATCATTGCTTTTGGTTATTTTTTCGATGAAAATATCTGACATTCAACAATTATCTATCAGGTATTACTTTTTATCTAATCTAAATTAAATACACCCGAGCTCAAATTTATTTAGCTAATTAATGTTAAGACTATTGCATACGTCCATAGAATAATAAGTATGTCTTCTATAGTCTGTTTATAGTTTGGTTTTGCCTAGATATAGCTGGACACAGGATGAGATTGGCCTATGTTAAGAAGAAGATTGTGATACCTGATTGCACTCTTCTGCATATGCATAGGGGGTCTTTAGCAGTGGGAGGAAACTGGAGGACCCAGTTGGACAGGCAACCCTATTTCTTGTGACGTACAAGTGGGGAATCAAAACCATGCAACTTGACTCAAGACAGACTTTATGATGCAACATGCTTATGTTCACCATTCCGCCACCCACCCCTCCCCCCCTGGATAGCAAAGAGGCAAGACAATAATTGATCATTGTAGAACTTTTTAAGTCTGGAGTTTAACAGTACTTCAAAGCATATTTTAGGATTTTTATTTTAGTTCTGTTATTTACATAAATAATTAGTTTTCTTTACACATATATATCTACCTCAACATAGCATTTGGGAGAATCTCTCCCAGTTTGCTTCAATATTCCTGGATAAGATTTTTAATGACAAATAAATTATCTTATTGACAGTAATCAGTCCTATACATTTATTATTCTGTAATATAAACATAGCTTGCAACAGATAGCAATGCAACAATATATAATATATATATAAAATATCTAAGACTCTGTTGAATATCAACCACATTTTCACTGAAATAATGATCATTAACATGTCGTAAAATGGGTTTACCTTTGGATCCCCCTTTGGGTCATCTTTATAAGCCAAATGTCCGACTGAAAAAACTATGTGTTAATTTACTCTGTAAGAAAGACTTGAATTTTTTTTAGCCCGAATTGCCCCAATACATTTTTTTTTTAAAAATCTGGAAAATAGTCAGGATTGGATATAATTGCTCCTAAACTTTTTGATGTGTGGTTGCCGCATTTTTAGCCACTCATTTTATTTTACTGGCAAAAAAATATGTTTCCGGCAATTTCTTTTTGTAATATACATGTATGGAAATACTTGGATTTTGGCAAACGTTCTATAGTACTATATTTTACACATAAAAAATATAAGAAAAGATAATCAAATTCTTTTACCCTAAATTAAGTCAGATATACTTCATTACAAAATAAATGAGAAATCAAAAAACATTTGTCACAGAAGACTTTCTGAATTTTAAAATACATGTAATTGTTCACACAATGTTTTTCAGTACCGGTATTAATGTTTTCAATGACAAAATATAATATTATGGACACATGTAAAATTCATATAACATTGCAATCAATGTGGGGGAGAGGGGTTGGGGATGTTATCTGCTTTCCCCAAAAACTCTTTTTGAGTTATTTTCACATCTTTTTATGGATGATAACCATTCCTTGTACATTTGTTTACTGAAATTTGTTAATGAAATGGATATCATTACTGCTTAAAATTAATATAGAAACTATCTTGACCACACATCAAAGATATGCATCCTAACTAAAGTATTTAATGAGTAGTTATCACCAATAAAAGTATGGCTATTTTGTATATGTGGAAAAATAGTGGATTCCTAAAAAAAAAACACCCATGGGGCGCATAAGACAAAAATATGAGGGTATACCTAAAAGGCAGCCAATCTCCTCTAGTGACCTATGGAGCACTTCTTCTTATGTGTTGATCTAATGGCTAAAGGTTGTGACAACACTGAGAGTATTAAACGCAAATGTACAGTAACTAACGACAAATACAAGAGCAAAATGGATTCTTTCTCAATCAAGTCATGTAATAAACAAGGCTGATAAAATAGATCCTTGTGGCACAGTTCCTTTTCTTCTCACTAAAATGTTTTGAGAGGGATTTGAAGCAAACATTTGATAGATATAATAGTTTAAATATGTTTTTAGTCCAAATATATCATCAAATCATACAGATTATACAGGGAAAGACTCTTTAATTCTAGTGGTTCCTACAAATTACGACACTGTAGTGTTATAAATATTAACTCTTTAATTCTAGTGGTTCCTACAAACTACGACACTGTAGTGTTATAAATATTAACTATGTCCTAATTATGGTGGATATTACAAGTTACATGTAGTTTTATCAACATAATAACTTAATTTAAATTTAATTTCAATCTTGGTTTGCCTGAAAAGTAAATCACAGAATTTTTAGGTTTATTACAAATATATCACACAATTTTCATGTTGTTCTATAAAAAAAAAGTCTCTTTATGAATGCAGTCAACTAAAGCATCTAAGAATAGCTCAACACTACACAATACAATCTAACAAGTTGTCTAATCCACTTTCATTGCTGAATAATTTGAGAAAACATCCCACTACAACATGAAATAGATATATAACAGTATAAATTGTCCAAATTTAATTATTAATCCATTTCCATTGGAGAAGAACATGATGTATTATGTGTAACAAGTTGACCCCTGCTTCACATACATGTAACTCTGATCACATCCTACCTCAACCATACACACAGAATTTATTGTAAAACTTATTATTGTCTATTTAAATGTTCTTATTTGTAACAGTCAAGGCTAATACAACATCAGTTTCATTTCACGATTTTGAATAACAATTTGACAATTCAAGATCACGATAAAGGTTCCAGGTTTCATAAAGATACACTCGTATTTGAAACTTTAGCTTAATGTCGCCTTAAACGATCAACTCTTTCATGTTTTTCTTCCCCATCTTCATCACTATGGTAACCACTACGTCCAACAGTATATCCCCGAGTAGCCTGCATCAACTCGGCATCTGGACCTTTATCTCTGTGCTCATAGAGCAAAATATTTAAAGTTTCTTCATATATTCTGGCTTCAGGAAACTCAACCTACCAATATAATATAATTTTTACACATTGAAAATTCAGATTCCAACTACATGTATTTAAAAGCTGATTTCCCCTAAATTAAAAAAAAAAAACAGTTTCTTTCTCTCCTTGGAAGTTGGATACAGTTTAACCAAAGCAAATGTATCTCACTCGCATGTACATGTAAATCCATTTTCTGACTGCTTCATGATGGAAAATTATGTAATATCGTGAGTTACTTGTATATAAGAATTGTAAATGGTGCAGACAACAGAGCTGTTGAACCCTCGACGTCAAGACGGGGATAAGAAGTGTCGTCTTACTGTCATTTTATTCAGTTACTAAGAAGGAATAAATGTTGCCATACAACGAATAGAACCATTGTATGGTGTAAACAGTCGTCCAATATGTTGCATCCGACGGTTGTATGGATTGGTTGTATCATGTAAACGCCGCTTAAGTCTCGTTAACAGGGAATTAATATTAAGGAACAGCATCTTGACACATTCTATGTAAAGATACCGCCTGCATCGCCATCTCATTTCAGACAATGTTTTCTTCCTCTGTTTCTAAGATTCACAGAACTCTTCACTACTTGATTAATTAATACACTGATCTTTCGTTTAATGAAAGATTGAAGTAGCAGAAGCCGTTATGAATAAGCTTATTCAAAGTGATAAACATAAACTAGGATCACCATGAAAGATCTAGCTCTGTGTAATTTCATTATTTTGAAACACCCAATATGTAACTGGTGTCTACCAACATGCGTGTGTTTACATACAACCATATGATACATAACCAGGTTGATATCTGTCACAAAATATCTATCAGATATCTGGGAAAATAGAGTTCTAACTGTATATTATGAACATATACATAACATACATCTTTCTTTTATTAATTTGTCTGCATGTGAGCATTTTAGAAGTGGGAGAAAAAGAGAGATCTCAGAAGAAGTCTTGATTAGGAACATCCAATATTGCGATCAAACTTGTACATGTATGACAGATATACATCTACAGTGCATTAGAAGATTTACTCATCCAATACAATCCCACCCCTAATAATGAAAAAATATCATATTGTACCTTTGTGTGTTTCTTATCTGTTCCATACACAATTGATGTACAACAGACTTCTGCTACTTTTTGAGCATGTCCGTAAAATGACCAACAGCAGATTTCATTACTGCCGATAACATCTTTAATAAACATGACACGTCTATTAAAGCGTAACGACAGCTTATCAAATAACTCCAAATTCTTTAATAAATTATCATCAGAATTACTGAAAAAATAAAAAAAAGAAGAGAATATTAAATAGTTACAATTGGCTAATAAATCTCATTCTCTAAAAACATTTGCTATTTCATTTCTAATAGGTGCTTGATTGACTCCAAATCATCTTGAATTGACAGATTTGCAATCGAAAGATGTGGAGTTGAATGATATACATGTTAGGAGAATCATGGCGAAATCAAACATGGTAAACTCATTTCATGCAGTATTTGGTAGAGATTTATTCTCACTGAGTTTGTCTACTTTGTTGCCTGATATTCTTCTGTTAATGGGGTTAACGAGACAATACAATTCTAGAATGTTGAATTGGATGAAAATAATATTTTGAACCCTTCTGTACATTCAATAATACCTACCTTGTGTATGAATATTTATTATTGTGACGATTACATATCAATTTAACTACAGGCTGAAATGAAAATAAATATACCAAAATTAATTTAACATATAAATACCATAAAATTAAGATTAAAGATGCCAATATGAAACAAGAATGTACAGGATTATAAATATATTTTCTGTCGGTCCTGTATACTTTCTCTACCATACACATGCAAAATATATCTGAATCTCTATAATACCTTATGGTTGGGGGGGGGGGGGGGGGTGATGCAAAATATTTTGCTGAATCTCTATACTGCTATGTCGAATCTCTTTTCTGCTATGTCGTATACCGTTGTCTGAAAAGTTTCTGTTTTTTTTGCTCAATTACCCTGTTTTGGACAGAATGGATGGGAGAGATTGGTGACTGGGACTAACTCCTAACCCCTTCAATCCCCATTGTAGCTGTATATTTATGTAATCACCTTAAATGTACTGGATACCAGTTGTTGTTCTTCTCTGGAGGAAGTAATTAAAGGGACTTTACAAATTGGTTCATGTTCTTCACGACTCTTTAATGCTGTTTCTATTTGTGTGACTAGATCAGCGACCAAGTAATACTTGGCTTCTTGAAGTAATTCCATCAGTTCTCTTCTTAATTCTGGTAATAGAACTGTACTGTCTCGTAAAAAATTTAAAATGGAACCAAAGTGCTTTCCACATCTATCAATCAAGATCCATCCTGAAATTTATAAAAAGAAATCATTTTAATTAATAAGTCAAATCTGTAAGACACTTTTATCTCTTAGCTAGGCTAACAATGAATATAAATCTGAAATTGAACAGATCAAATGCAGTGACAGGTATTAAGAACTGTCTAGATATTAGAAATCTTGGAAGTTTTCAATTAAGAAGTAATTCAGACAATTAGTAAAAGTCTGAATCGTTCTAATTATAAATTTCTTCATCCTCTGATGGCTTCGCATATGCTTATCTCTGAAAAGGCGTTGCCTGTAAAAAACAAAACCCTTTGCATAATAGTATATGGTATTTAGTAAATAAGCAAAGAAACTCTGTCATGAGATCTCTAACATACCTTCTGAATCTGTCAAAACTTCCATTCTTCCACTGAACATAGCTCGAAGCATTGTATCATGTTTTGTAAGCGTTCCGATTGTTGTATAATGTAACGATCCACCAACATTGAGCTTAACATATTTTGATGTATTTCCCTTTATCACAGTTTTGTGAGAATCACCAGACATGATTGGTATTAATTCTTTCAAATCTTTGGATTGGGAAACAATATAACCATTAACTTCCAGCTTTGTTTACTCACTTTCCCACTTAAGACCTCTGTCCAAGTGGTTGTCCCGATTGTCAAATATAAAAGTTAAATTAGAACTTGAATGAGTCAGAGGAATGGTCCTTCGCTTTCAATAAAGATAAAAGATTAAGTGAACACTGAAAAGAATAGTTCAATTCGGATTCCTCAGCCTCTCTCCTCCTCACTCAGTCACTGATGACTAGAAGAGTCAAATTCATTCATCACTATCAGATTTAGGATTTTAATTACTCTGGCATATGAAAATTCAGTCAGTCTGCTTCGACCATCTCAACTCGTTGATAAATCCTCACCTCCACAGATCGATAGACATTGAAATAAACTATAAATAAACTCGAAAAGCACTTATATTAGGTTGAAAAGACTTCTATTTTTAGATTGCTTATCGTCTTACAAACAGGAAGTCGTAATATATGACGTCATTGTCTGCTAGGTGTACTCGATTATCCACATCCTACTTTTCTGCACCGACCGGGGAAATGGGGAAACCATTGACGTCATATATATGACGTCAATGGGGGAAACCATCTAGTTCTATGTATTAATGGGGAAATGAAGGCGGGCAAACGCCACGCAGGGAAATTTTGTCCAAACCTCCTAGACGTGTCAAGGGTTCTCTTTCTCTTACGGGCCCACCATTGACCTTAAAAATATATTATACGGTCCATGGTGCACACCTGTTTTTTGTTGCCCCATCAGAGCGACTAGACGCCTTTCCGTGGCCGACGCCTGAAAACTTCTTGGGAATTCCTGTAAACCATTGAAGGGCCGAAAAGATCAGCATTGTGACCCCAATCAAGTTGGACCAAGATTATACTAAACTAAAATAGATTTTTTCTTCTTATCACTGCAGAATTTAAAACTATGTTTTTGGCATCAGTGAAATATTGAAATATTTTACATACATTTTCTGGCACGTTGAACTTGAAACTGGAAAAAAATAAAAATAGAATACGAAAGTAATTGTTGCCACTCTTCTTAGAAACAACATTTACATTCCAAAACAACATGGCAGACGAAGCTCTTGCAAAAGCTGGACTTCACTTTGATGAACTGAATAAAATACGAGTTCTTGAACCAGAAGTTGCCCAGCAGACATCGGAATTGAAAGAAGATTGCAAAGACTTTGTTGAAAGTAACTAGGCATAATAATAATTTTTCTTTGAATATTTGATGAATACATGTATACACTCAAGTCAAAGCCATTAAAAAAAAACGCAATACCAAATTCAAAGTTTATTTACTCAAACAACTTTCAAAAAATGTACATAACAGTTGACAAAGTCGAGATAAGAAAGTATCTGTGGATAATTTCATGAAAGAATTCACTACAAATGCACAAAACCGAAACGTCAGAAAACCATGAAACAAAGCAGGGATCAACTGAAGTCAATATCGGGTATGTCATGATTTTGGAGTGCCTGTGCCAACTCTGCAACAGTTTGTGGTGGCACGGCTTGAGTTCGAACCCGTCGTCCAAGTTCATCCCAAAGATGTTCGATCGGGTTACGAGCAAAGCGTTCATGTCGACGTTGGTAGATACGGTGACGTCCATCAGGAAAACTGAGGTTGAATCAGGATTCATCTGAGAAGATGACATTTCGCCATGGTGTGTTGTGCAGATAGCCCTGATTTGCGGCTCATTGCTGTCTGGCAAGTCGATGACGATGCAAAAGGATTTGACGGCGGTAAGGTCAACGGCAGCGTAACCCAAGAGCAGCCAGGCGCCTTCGGACTGTTTGAGGGCTGATCTGACGTTGCCGTGTTCCAACAGTTCCCCTGGCAGTAGCAGTAGCTGACTGGAACCTGTTGCGCAGATGCTGTAGTCGGATGTGGCGATCTTGAGCAGGGGTTGTTACAGGTGGCACTCCAGGTCGGGGTCGATGGGCAACTCTTCCAGTGGCGTGGAAGCGTCGTCTGAGGCGAGCAATGGTCGATGGCTACCTGTGAAGCCCCCTGATCCAGCATGCCAATAGCTCTGTTCCTGTTTTCTTGTGTAAGGTGTGGCATTTTTCCGAAGTGATGAATGTTGAAACTTTGATCTGTATTTAAAGGGTCACAAACAAAGTTCATTGCCGAGAACTGATATTGGATTCAAACCCAGAACTCCACAAAAAGAGACCTATCACAAGTTTCACCTATGTGCCATAAAAGATAGGAAAGCCCAAGAAAATGTTTACCAGAAATATTTCACAAATTAGGCATTGCATTTTTAATGGCTTTGAGTATAGATAGGCCTAAGGCTAGCGTATTATTTATATTTATTATGAACTTATTATCATGATTATTATGAAGAAGGGTCCGTAAACTAGCTAGGCTTTGTCACTGCAACAAACCGGAGAGATATTGATAATGATTGTTTTCATACTTAATAATGATATACAATACAAGTTAAAGATGAGTTCCCCGCGGACAAACTGGGTGATTTAATGGTATATATGGACTAAAAACATATTCAAACTAATTAATTTTTCATAACTTTGCTTCGAATCCTTCTCAAACATTGTAATTGCGAAGGAATGTCCTGTTATAAAAATTCGATCAAACCAGGTCATGTTTACGTCATGTGACTTACCTCACTTGGAAGTCAGTGGAGAATTCATTGCATACATAAGACAATGTTGTCTTTAATCACTTACTATTTATTACAAATATCGAATCCTAACTAAATTCTCAGATTATCCACTACCTGCGTCTTTTTCCGTCATTTTTATCTCAGAAAGTGTTGTATGTCTAACTCTTCATAAAGTTTATCAACTTGTACATCAAGCGCTCAATGTTCGTGTGTGACCTTTGACATCACGTGTGCAGAAATTCCTAATCGTCGGGCTGTTGATTAGGGAAACCCTTACATTTTTGTTGAATCCAGTATTTTTCTATTAAGATTGGATATCTCTACTTTCCATATATACCAAAATTACCATACTTTTATTGGAAATAACCACCCGATAAATACTTTTCTGGGAACCCATCTTTAAAGCAATAAAATGTCAACGTAAAATATAAAAATTAAAGGAGCTAAATCGCAAATATTTGGGACCTATAAATTGACACAAATGGGTTGCAACGCATAGGCCTATAATATTATCATCATATAATAATAATAATAATGTAATTATGAATGTATATAAACTGATTTACATTCAAATTTAGTGGTTTTTGTTTTTACTGTAATTTCTAATCAGTTATGTTTGGTGCAATACGCCAGAAATCTCAATCGAATGGCAATCTCTAGCGTCTGGTTTTTACAGTCTACACCGATAGTATTTATTGTGCATGCTCTACAGATACGAATATGTGTCACCGTTTGACATGACTTGTGGAATATATCTAGCCTTGTTCGTCAAGTCCCTTGTTACAAAAGGGGCTGAAACGCATTATGGTACACGATTCTGAACCAATGGTAAAATGTTTATTTCGTCTTAATATTGGATATCAGAAGCCCATCTTTTCCCAGTGTGTGACCATTCACAGTGTCATTCAGTCAAATCAAACATGTTTAACATATTAACCTAGTGTGGCCACTTCACCGAAGCATTCACCTGATTGTAGAATTCATTAGCCAATCACCACTTTTATCAAAAAGTCAAGCTCGATTGCTTGAAGACATGGTCACCATGTCGAATCATGTGACATGAATGGAGATACAATCGACTGGTGAATCCGGCTAAGGATTCGCCTGATGTGTCTACTTGTTCGGATGAATTTGACTGCAATTCGGCGCCGAATTATACTAGTAGCTCAAAAGAAGTCCAGCAGTGATCTAGAGTCTAGAGTAAAGAAAAATTGGACTAGCGGACTGTTTGATTTAAGGGCAATTATATTAAACTTGATACCTTAACAGGACTTCATACTAAGCGATACGGTAGATTTCTGGGAATTTTACTGTCCATACAAATTGGTTGTCAGAATAAATGAATTCATGTTTATTTCCACCATGTCCCGTATCAATGAATGTAATGTCATATACATTTGCCCTTAAGGCTTTTATTTAGTTGAGTGGATTCAAACAAAAAACTAACCCTAACCAGGACTGGTTAATATGAACAAACACAATTAATATGCCTTGTCAGACAATTTATATAAATTTCTATCCCAAATTAGCCGAACAATTTATATAAATGTCTAGCATCAAAACACACAGTAAAGCCATTTTGCCTTGTAAACCACGTAGAAATGTCATTGTTTTTTCTTATATTATTCAGAAATTGGAGATTTTCAGAAAATAGTTGGTACATTTATTGAAGTTGTTGATAATGTTGCTACAGAGGTGGAAAAAGAGAAAATGAAGGTAAATATTGTGTTATTTATAGCAGTAGTGATATATAGTTTACACCTCATTCCGGATACATAATAGATCTCTAAGCATCGGGGTTCGGCTCATGTTCAAAGTGCTATGCATTCATCTAGAACTGATTACGGTAAAAGGAATCGATGTAAATTATTAATTATGAAAGCTTTTGTCACAAAGTCACCCTATGCATTGTTTAGACAAAATGTGGTAATTTTTTAGACTATACTAGATGATATTATGAAGATGAATTTTCTTTGTTATTGCAACATTACAAGTTCTTTCAGGATGTGTTATGTTGACAAGAGAATAAACAAAACACCAATCTTTTCATTCTGATTTCTTAAAAATAAAAATGAGAATTTTGGTAATGTTGACAAAAATTTACATTTTTTTTTTCTTGTCTTGAAGGCTATAGGTGCAAGAAATTTATTGAAGTCGATAGCAAAACAACGAGAATCTCATCAACAGCAGTTGCGTGCACTAATCACAGAAAAGAAAATGCAGCTAGAAAGGTAGAATACTAAAACTTGATAATCCCAGGCTTAGTAATAGAAAACATATTACTAGTATATACATGAATCATGACTGGTTGGTGTGAACTGCCCTCAAGGCTCCTCAGACCTGGACACTCGACTAGAATGTCCCTGGTTTAAGAAGAACCGTCAGGGAATATCAAGCCCAGGTTTGACATATCAAGGGTGGCATCTGTGAGGCTGACTAAAGTAGTGTGGCTACTCCATTGGAAGGGGCATGCTGTACACGTGATGGTTGTAACTGTAGAAATATATTTTAGTATGTTGTTTTTTTTAAAAATAACCAAAATATTGTGTTTAAAAGTCATTATGCCCCTCTACACAGCTCATTTCTTTAAAGAGATTTGCTGATCCTTATCACTCGAACTTTGTTGTTGTGGCTTTATGCCAAGACACACCCATGGTTATGATGCATACTCATTAAACTATAACACATGCTTATGGAAGAACAATTACTCATTTAATTTGGGGTAATAGTCTTTGAAACATTAGCCAAATAATTTAGTAATTCTTCTTCATAAGTATGTGTTAAAGTTTATTGCTGTATCCAGTTACTAAATGCCCCTAAAGGTTTACATACTCATTAGTTCAGTAGCAACATAGTTTAATATACATACATGTATTATATTTAGTCCAAGGTACACTTAGTGCACCCGGGCTCAGAGGACAGATGGCTTCATTGTGCATTTAAGATCAATGATTTAATTAATCAAGTCAAGAGAGATAACTCCTAAGTTACTAAAGTGGTTTGTAATCTTATGTCTTTTATATGGCTTTTCTTTTTTTTTCAGATTACGAATTCAACACGATGCTTTAGTGAAAGAAGAAAGTGAACAAAATGACTTTATAGAACAATTAATATTACAAAAATAATTTGTGATTAAATGGTTAATGTGATATTTATTTTGTGCATCCATGTATGTGATGAACTTTGAACTGTGACATTTTTATCCTGAAGAAAAACAATAATCCGTCCAAACACAATGAAACATTGTGTACTGTTGGAGCTATATTTTATACCATAGCCTTCTTCAATTTATATTATATATCTTTAATTTTTGAAAACCAGATAAGGTTATAGACTGGGTTCATTTCAAGTTTGTGAATAAAGACTAATGCTTAATTTAATACTGCTGGAAAAAATATGCACCTTGTTTTCTTATGCTCACAATTTTATTCTTGACCCACAGCAACAAAAATTATAGGAAATATAAGAATTATTACAGATTAGATAATTATATGACTTATGAAAATGCTTGTGGAAACTACATATTATTTTGATGTCCTTTCCGAAACTAGGCCTGAATGCTCTGTAGCAGTACACCCTGGCATCACAAACTTGTGAACACCATTTTCCTCAGCTGTATTGAATATAGCAATAGAAACTGGAAAAACTACATGTAAGTCAATTAATGAAGACATTCAACAACATTCAGGTTACATTACAGCCTCTCAGTGTCATTTGCATTCTTCAAAAAATCTCAAATTTTAGATGCCTTAATACACCCTACAAATGTATCCCAATTGATTATTTAACCAATCAAAAGACAATCATCCGACTTGGATCCAATTGAATTAAAAAGAGACCCATCAAAAGATATTAGCAAAACATAAAGATGGCGCAAGCATGTTTATAAGGGTTTTAAACGAAACGACCGTTAACTGAAAACAGCCTGAAAACTTTTATGCAGAGGATACCAAATGTTGCGATAATTTCCATTCACTATATCTCTGTAAATACTGGGCAGATTGAACAATTCCTCAGAGACTTTAATCATGGTATCAAAACATTATCATTGAGCCTTTTTATGTTATTATGTTTAATTATCTGATATACTTGTTATTGTGTACTTCTGTTCTGTATTAACACCTATACTATCTGATATACTTAATTGTGTAGTTTTGTTCAGTTTACTATATTGTTGAAAACATTACCTACTTTGTTTTAAAAGACAGTATATTGGAAAGGGTCACTGTCCTTTATGTGCAAGCAAATTAATTAAATGTTAGTCCCAAAATCACCTAGTTTGCGTCAAGTGGATGTTAAACCCCATTTTGAAGAACATTTTGAATTTTTCTGTTTCTTATCATTGAAACAATAAAACATAGATTTCCGCGAAACATAATCCCAGACATTTATGCCTATATATATATTACAAATATGTTTAGTGAAACCATTTTTAATGTCTTTAATAGTTTTATATGATGTAAAAGCAATTTGCTGAAAATTTCAGTCAAATTGATCCACTATAAACCGAGAATTAAGCGATTGAAATTTCAGCCTAGCCTTGATCATCATTACTGAAGTCTGTAGATAAAAAAACATAGTCTCGATCATCCATTTCATGATTAAATTATGAATGGAAGTCGAGCAGCAAATGGGATCATAATCCAGTAAATATCGCAGGCTAGCAATGCCATCGAGAGTTAGTTATGGTCTGGATAAGTTAATTGATGTCTAATTAATAATTTAGATAACATTTCAGGCCTAAAGAAAGACCTGCAAATTGGCAGATTTAGTTCTTGCATAATGTATGTTTAAGAGACAGGGAAATATACTAATTAATTTTCTGGAATAAACATGTAACTTTACCTTGGAACAAAAAGTTTGAAAAGACTAAGAAGTAATTTATGTTTCCTTTGCGGTCTGAAAATTACATGGCTGTAAATAATATTTAAGGCAAAGCTGTTTCCTATCGGTTTAGATACAAACTGAAACGTCTCATTGTAACCAAAATCGGACGAAAAACAAGGTTGACATTCAGGGCCCTTATTCACGAAAACTTAAACTAAGATACAATCGAAATTTTAAGAAATACTGCAATTCGATTGGCTGACCAGTAAAATCAATTTGCATATATCCAATGAAGTTGCAGTATTTCTTAAAAGTTGTGTCCCCATCCAGATAGGCACCATTGACACCACAATTTTTCAAGTCACTGGGGAATGATTAGTCGCTGATTCTACCTGTTCGCTTTTTTCCTACTGAATGAGTTCATTTTCCATGTTCTTATTTAAATCGACCTTGTAGAGAGCAACTAGTAGCCCTACCTATGTCATCCTCGGTATTCCCAGTGGTTTCATTCCGTTCTACTCCACTAACCTCTAGGTTAATCTTTGGGGGAGACACATTTTCAAATTATTCGCCCTTGATGATTGTGCTATTTTTATCGACCAATCCCATACATCGTTAATTGAAAAGGAAGTAGGCAAAGGGAAGTAACTCTCATCGGACAAGTTTAGGGGTTAGCCTAAATGGGAGAAGTTCAAATTATTCTAAATGGGTACTTACTAACAACATATTATATAGTATGAAATTAAGGAAGACCGGACCAAATTGCCAAGTATACATTCAATAATAATAAACATAACCGAATTAAACATTTCAGATAAAGAACCAATAGTAATAATAATAACAAAAGTCAAACATATAGATGTTATACATGTTTGAAATCAGCGAAACATACTACATATTTTGATAATACAAATTCATTGGCCGAGAAAGTTCATCTGGATTTTCCGACGTGGTTTCCCCTTGTCAGTGGTGCAGAACAGAGGGTCTGACAAGGACAGCTGTCTAGTCCTTCGGAAGAGACGAAAAACCGAGGTCCCATGTATACATTAGAATGCACTTAAAAGATCCCGTGGCAGTTGGAATTTGATATAAGAGTAGGCGATAGTGCCGCTGCCCGGGCAAAATTTCCCTCATAGCACACTGTATGGCGTATGCCCGTCTTCATTAGCCCAGTATAGGAGCAGAACAGTAGGACGTTAAACCCCATTTCATTTCATTTTTTGATAATACAATTAATTATAAATGAATTAGGAATGTATACATAAATTGTTTGGCCCGGACTCACCCGTACTAGGCTATAATATAATTAAACATGCATTATGCAAGAGCTAAATCTGATTATTGCAAGTCTTAATTTTGGCTTCAGATGTTATAGAAATTATAAATTAGATCTTTATTTAACCAACAAGACCAAAATCAACTCTGTAGACCCACGGATGGCTCGGCTACAGCTCGGATTTAAATAGGATTTCACTAATTGATTAAATCAGATAAGGGGTAACCTGCACTCGGCAAATCTCGACTATTTCCGTTACCCTACATCTAATCTCGGCTGTATGACAGTAAGTGATATGTACCTACGCCCATACATTTGCGATGCGGCTGCCGGTTTACTTTAAACAGGAAAACGTGTCGCTTTTACAAAAAAGTCCCAAATTGCGTCTTTTGTAGAGTGTATATACCTAAATGAGCAGAGATATTGTCTCAAGGCTGCTGGTTTGATAAAATTCACTGGTAATTCCCCAAACCCAATGCCAAACGTGACGTTTGTTGATATAATACACTCTCCACAGAAATCTCCATGGGGGCAGCCATTTTTCATTTGGAACCTTGAAAATAGTTCAAATATGGCGGAAATGGTCAAACAGCCGAGATTAGATGCGTAGAATCTGTCGAGGTTTGCCGAATGGGGTAACCTGATGAAAATACGTCAGTTAGATCGAGGCTAAATGATAGAGTGTACTTAGCGAGGCCGCTGTAAAGCGTTTCCGTATGCTATTGAAAACTTTACTTGATAATCGAGATATGTAGGTGGAGTTAACGCCTGTCAATCAAGACACATTTCGCTACCATTTCTAGGCAAATATTACAAAGATGATAACTATGTTCAGAATAAAGTAATTTGACTGAATTTTTCAATATATTCTTCTTTCATCATCTACTTTTGAACTGTTATAGCAAGAATGGCCAACTCTCTATAAAAATCTCCCATAATGTATCTTTAATGGTAAATCCGTGCTGAGACGACGTCATAATCAAACGACATCACAATCACTTCAATGACGTTATTTCTATTGTCCCATCACAATATCTGAGAGTTTCAGAACTTGTAAGACGTGTTTTACTATTTTTAAGTAAACAAAACAACATATTTTTCAAACATTTCACCCTTTTTCGACAACTATGGATTCCAGGTAAGATATTTCGCCAGTGATGTCTGTCAGAACCCGTTTTAATTTTGTACAATAAAGTGTTCGGTTAATAAAGTAGATCTAAATAACGCGATTTGAATAAAGTAAACATCAATGCAGATTTTATAACAAATTTCCTGGAAACCACAAACAAAGTTTTATTCGAGAATCTCCCGGTGTCGACACATTGAAAAGTATTTTACGTCATGCAATTTCATTTGTTTTATTTTCATTTCCATCATTACAATATGTAGAAGATGTTAGAAATTTTAGTATAATTCACGATAAGATTTGAAGATATAAAAGTATAATTCATGATAAGATTTTTAAATCAAAGATATCTTAATTTCAGAAACTTAGAAGGCAAAAAAATGAAAGTATATATCAGTAAATCATAATTATACGGTATCAAATATTATTATATAAAAAAATAAATATTTCAGCTATTTCATTTGCAGATTGAGATACACCAATAATGCGTATCCAGACCGTGATGATTGTACGAATAAAAATTTAGTTCTTCAAAACAAAAACCAAAAAACTTTTAAAATCAGTCAAGAAAACCGAATTTTATAAGAATTTGGCCCAAATATTTTCTTCTAAATATAAAATAACAACATTAGACCGAGGAGTGTGATGGAAAGCAAGAGAGGTAACTACAACACTTAAAGGATAAATACCATATCACAAAAACTATGATTTAAGAACTATTTAAAGGCTCAATACCACTCTTGTTGTAACTGAATATGTCCCAATCTTTATTCTGGTCAACAAATTGTACTATTTTACAGTATTCCAATTAATTGATGATACAAATTTCATCTTAACACATCTAATTTAAAAAATTGGAAAAATTCAACTAAATGATTTGAAAAGCCTGACGTAAAGCTTTTCAAATGTGACTTAAATTTAAAAATATTTTTGAACCCTCTGGACAAGTAAAATAGGATTTGATGGATAATTTACACAACAGGTAAGACACTAACACATCTTGTACTTAGAATAAGGATATTTTTTTTATTTTCTGGAGCTGTCAAGTCAGCAAGAGTGTTATTGTCCCCTAAGGTCGGGCAGACAACGGCAATAACGGGGAAACGGGAGATAACAACATTAAACAACCGCATGGATCAGGAAAATAACAGCCACAAGATGATAAAAGCAACATCAAGAATAATGTAGCAACAGCAAAACTTTGAACCGGGAATATAAAAGCAATATCATGGACAGTGAAAATAATAGTTGCATCAAGTATAATAAAGATAACATCACATTAGATCTAGAAGATAACAGCAACAGCATGGACAGGAAGATAACAGCCACAGTGTAAATGCGGGAGATAAAAGCAGCAACAAGAATAATGTAGATAGCAGCAACATAGATAACAGTAACGTCAGGGATAAAGGAGAAAACAAGAAAGCAGCAACAGTATGGACCATGTAGATAACAGCTACAGCGCAGAAAAGGAAAACAACTGCAGGGATAAGGAAGATAACAGCGAGGATAAGGAAGATAACAATAACGGGATGAATAAAGAAGTAAAATTAGTAAGATATCAGCAAAAATAGGGCTGCAGAAGATAATAACAACAGGATCAGAAAGTTAACAGCCAAAGCATCACACAGTGCATATTCGCTAGGCCGCTACAAGATGCAATACATTCGTTTAACAGATTGCCAAAGCATAGATAAACAAGATACATAATTAACATCATAGGAAGAAACTGAATTCTATAAGAATATATTCGATTCTTCTAAATCTGAAAAAAAAACAACATTACAACCATACAAGTTGTTAACCTATAGAAGCCAGTGGAAACGGATGGTAAGAGAAACACATGGAGGTGTATAACAACACATCTACAGAAGATAACATGATTATTAACACCAAGGATAAGGGAGATAACAACAACACTTTAGATCGGGAAAACCACAGCAAAACAAGGCCACAGGAGATAATAAAAAGAAAAAAACGTCTATGTTCTGGCAAAGGTAGAAAATTACCACCGATTTTAGCTCTCTGCAACTTTATCTAGATTTTACAAACCAAAATCCTCTAATGTTCTGACAAAGGTAGAATATTACCACCGTTTTTAGATTTCATTAATGGACGCACTAGAGTGGCGAAGAAAGTACGGTAACAAATAGTTCAGTTTTACCAAGTTTATTAAAATCACTACCGACTTTAACAAATGTTTCAGTTTTACCAAATTTAATAAAATCTCTACCAACTTTAACTATAAGTTATGGTTTAAACAGTATTTTATTCAAGAGCATATTAGTATTTTCAAAAATATATTCATTGGAATGACGAAATGGAGCTATTAAATGTTTGGTTTGGCCTATTAAATGTTGAATCGGCGAGAAATGGGGTTTAACGTCTACTTCAGAGAGAAATTGTGTTTAACGTCCACTCGCCCAAGAATAGATCATTTCGGGACTAACATATGGTTCAATTTCATTTCAACAATTGGGTTGGAAGGCGACCCTAATCCTTATCACGTACAAGCAGGGAATCGGAACCACGTCATTTGACTCAATGCTTACGATCTAACACTCACGTGCTATCCCCACCCCGTATTAATCAAACAATAATAGGTACCCAATCTCTCTTTTTTTAAAAATTCAAATTATCCATTGTACGCGGAACCGCAACGGATTTGAACAATCGAGTTATTTTATCTTATTGCTTTTAAATCGACCCTAAACATTCGTAAGTGCGTTGCCCATGTGCATAGCTTGGACCAGAGCATGTTTTCGGTCACCAAATCTGTTGCCTCACTGATTTCAAATAATGTTGCATGAATAATGTATGTTCGGATGTGTCGAAAGGTTGGAATAAATTAAACAAATACAAACAAATTCAAAAAATTATATTTTCAATATTTTATCACTTATACACGTTAATTAATCATACAGGTGGGCGTCCTTTGCAAAAAGCATAACTGGATCTTTGTAAAAGTTGTTTATGAATGCATCTGCACCAGGATGTCCTCTATAAGGTGTCCACTTTTGGCATGCTTGAAGACAGATGTTCGCCCAGGCATGAAGGTAAGCTATACGCGTCCCTTTGGTTGATTTCTTCAAAGGTTCCAAGATATGGTCACTCCAGAAGTTCGGCATCTTATCAATTCCGTTATCGAATATGCCTACTTCTGTCACGGCAGGAATTTTATGGCGATCTTCAGCTAGCTCAACGACATTAATAACCTTGCTTACAAAAGTATCTGTAGATTCTGCGCCATGATAATAAAAGTCCATTCCTAAAATATCGACATAATCGTCACCAGGATAGAATTTCAGGTAGTCGTCTTTACCTTGGAATCTATCTGGGCTGTAGGCATACAACACATTGTGAACATTCTTCGTATCTCTCAAATATTTGACAGTATATCGATAAAGTTCTTGCATTTCTTGAACCGTGTTTTGAGCTTTGTTTTTATAACCCCACCAAAACCATCCACCATTGAGTTCGTGAAATGGTCTGAAGACAATGGGTATAGTTTGTCCTGATGACGTTTTAAATCCCTTCATAGAAGCTGCAACAGAATCAAGACGGCGTCTGTAAACTTCGTGGAAATCGCCACCGGGTAAAATTCGTTTAATTGTATGAAGAGTATCCCCCTTATCTGTAGCTATCCAGGCAGTTCCATTCGTTACTGGATTATGTTGATGATGAGCGGAAACTATAAGTTCACCTCGTTCGTATGACCTTCTGACGATATAGTCATTCAATACTTTATTATTGTGATCCAGTTCACCATAACCAATTCCATTGACAGCCGGATAATCTCCCGTTAGTCTCTGGACATCGCATAGGCTGTCCGGTATCCCATTCTCTACCATATCTGCCTGAAATAACAAAGACTTTGGATGTCATTATATATTCAATGGGGTTAGCTATATGATCTTCCCAAACAATCGAGACTAGAGTCAAGTGTAGTACAAAGGATAAGAGTGTACTTCCTTGTGCACAGCAATTGTCACTACAATGTGATTTTCTCAAAAAATCAAAATGGTTTTAAATGCACTGGAAAGGATACAGGTGAACTTCCTTGTGCACAAAAACTGTCACTATTAGCTTATGATTAAATATAGCGAATTGTTATGAATGCTTTGGAACGTGGTTTTATAGATAAGTGATGGCGTGGCTGTTCGTGGGTGTAAGTAGCTGGGCAGGCTATGGTCCATTTTCTTCAATTTTATGTGGATGTTTTTATACCTGCACTATCAGTTATTTAAAGGGCGAGCTGCGGGTTTTCATGCACCCAAACGATTAGGTGCACATCTTTTCTGACACGACAGGCGTAGATCAGCCCATATTCTCACAGGAGTCAGTGGTAAATGTGTGCAAGGCTTCACAATGCAGCTCCGTTTTTTTCAAATTACTTTTTATGAATCCCCACTTTAAAGTATCTGTACATTACTTGGTTTGAGTTTTGTAAGAATTGAAAACAACTAACCCTGTATAACCACCCATTGATGTTGCCATCATGAGACCTACCAACACTGTATGGAGAGACCCCACCTTCAGCACCCCATACAGTGTTAGCCTCCTGACCAAACAGAATCTTTTTCGGATCTCTTGCTAAATTTGTTAGTTTGTTGTATAATTTCCTTGCTTCTGGACCAGCATTTTGATCAATAATAGCATTCTGCACGATCGGCAGTGCTGCAGTCAGTAATATTACAAATCTGAAATGTAAATATATATATTAATGAAGGGGGGGGGGGGGCGGTCGCTTTAGGTCAAGGTCTGTCATTTAGTCCAGGGGAGTGGTTTCCATTTCGATACGTGACAGGGGGTAGAGTCGCCTGCCAAACCTCGTGAGTTTACTCCGGGGCGTTCGATATCCTCCCGCTGCCAAAGACACAATTATTGAGACAAAATTGAACCATATATACTGAGCGCCATGGAAAACGCATCACTTAGTTTTTCGTATAACAAAATGATCCTGTAAACATATCTTATTTATTTTTCTTCTTATTGTGAACAATATTCAAATGGGAACACATCAATAACAACACATTTGTACACTTATGGATGTTTAATCTGTAATCAGAGGGGTCAAAACCAAAAGTACGACACAGATGTCAGTAGCGGTGTGTGTCCTCCACGGGCTCTTACGCACGATATGCAGCGACGTCGCATGGAATTTACCAATGTTTGAAAGCAGCAATGGTGTGCATCTGTGGTCTCCGATACAGACGGCGTCCAATCTCATCCCAGACATGTTTTATCGGTGCCATGTCCGGAGACATGGCTGGCCAGTCCAAGACATTGATGTTGTTAGCAGCCAGGTAGTCCATACTAAAACGGGCGGTAAGCGGACGTGCATTATCCTGTTGGAAGTGCTGAAGTTGTGAGTGCGCTCGAAACATCGGAACAACAATTGGTTGCAAGACATCATCACGGTAGGCTACAGCATTAACGCGACCCCTGCAAATGTGTAGGGTGGTCCGGTGATGAAATGTGAAGCCCCCCCCCCCATCATTACACTTCCCCCACCCCATCGATTCGTTTCGAAGACGCAGCAGTCTGCAAGACGTTCCTCAAGACGTCTCCACACACGTTGACGGCCATCAGCGTGATAAAGATGAAAGCGACTCTCATCACTGAAGAGCACACTTTGCCAGTCTACTCTTCTCCATGCATGTCTGGTGTCCTTGAGCCCATATCAAACGAAATGACGGTGATGATACCTGAGGATAGCTCCAGCATAAGGTCGTAGTGCACGGAGTCCTACTTCTCTTAGACGACGTCTTACGGTGTTGGCACTTACTGGTCCTTATCTTCCGACGACTGCTGCACCTGTTCGAGTCGTTGGGCGGAATCTGTTACGCAGATGAGTGACCCGGATGTAGCGGTCTTGAGCCTGGGTTCTAACGCGTTGTGGACCAGGACGTTGACGGTCACGTGTTGATCCAGTAACTCGAACACGTTCCACCAACCTTACAATAGTGGACTGATGACAATTGAAGTGTCTGGCAATAGCTTGTGTAGACATGCCAGCCCTTGACATTCCCATGGCTTCATTCCGTTGATTTTCAGTAAGTCTCGGCATCTCTAGCTCGATTCCTTCACACGTCAAACAACAAATTACGACGGATTGACGTTTCACAGTTCATGTACTGCACATTAAGTTGAAAACATGGTTTTAAAGGGATCACACACAATGCTGCACGTGAATATTGGGTTTTTCAGGTGCATCTCGTGCAATTTTTTTTTTGCACACGGGCCGATATTTTTTGCGTTTGGGAGCATTGTGTGAAACAATAGTTCTAGTCTGGAGGCTCAGTGCGGGGGGGGGGGGGGGGTGCATCAAATGGGCACAAAACCAGACCCAACTTTTCTAGAGTAAAATTTTGCGTAGAATACGATGCCGAGTGGTAATCAGTCCGCCGTTGGGGCGTTTTCGAGATATTCGGGGTCAAAGGTCAAATGGGTTCATTTGCACTGAAAGTGAATGCGCGGTCATTCTTGTATCATGAAAATAAGCTGTAAATGATCGAAAGTAATCACAATTTCAATAAAAATGTAAACTTGCTAAATTCACCTTTGTTCTTTGTGACCCCAGAGGTCAAAAGGTCACATTTTCCGTTTTAGCACAAGGAAGATTTAAAGTAATAAATTAATGTCGGCGTAAAATATAAAAACTAAAGCGAAACCTGTTCTAATTAATAATAGGAACATTTAAAATGTATCTTTAGGTGGTCTTAGCACCAAACTTTTACTTTGGAACGTCGAAAATGATCTTGCATATATAGAAGCAAAACGCTTCGGAGCCTGTTTCAAAAATACGTAAAAACTGTTAAATCAAAATCTCTCTGAATTAGTTTTACAACGAATGCTATACATAATGATACTAGTTGTCTGAAAAAAAAAACCAATTAAATAGTTCCATGGCTGGACTCCATCCTGCAGGCCGCGTCACAAAGCCTGCCAAAATTTTCCCCGCTAACATTTACCAATACGACATATATATCCTGTGAACTACTATGTACAATGCATTCGTCGGTTTTATCTGCGTCCATGATCCGGCGAAATTCATAAAAACCCATAAAAAATTTGCAAACTTTTAATCTCGTCGCCAGATGCGTGTTTTCACAGATTAACGTCGGTTTTCCTAGACTGGGATTCTCGGAAGTCCACGCGGCCTGCAGGCTGGAGTCCAACACTGAAACTATTTAATTGTTTTTCAGATAACTAGTATCATTATGTATAACAATCGTTGTGAAAATTAATCGGAGAGATTTCGATTTGACAGTTTTTACGTATTTTTGAAACTGGTTTCAAAATGTGTTGGTTCTGTTATGCAAGATCATTTTCGACGTTCCAAAGTAAAATTTCGGTGCTAAGACCACCCAAAGATAAATTTGAAATGTTCCTATTATTAATTAGAACAGGTTTCGCTTTAATTTTTATATTTTACGTAGCCCCTTTATTGCTTTAGTGCAAAAACGGTAAATTTCACCTTTTCACCTCCAGGGTCACTAAGACTAAAGGTGAATTTAGCAAGTTTACATTTATATTGAAAGTGTGATTACTTTCGATCATTTTCACCTTCTTTTCATAATACAAGAATGACTGCGCATTCACTTTCAGTGCAAATGAACTCATTTGACCTTTGACCCCGAATATCTCGAAAACGCCCCAACGGCGGACTGATTACCACTCGGCATCGTATTCTACGCAAAATTTTATTCTAGAAAAGTTGGGTCTGGTTTTGTGCCCATTTGATGGACCCCCCCCCCCCCCCATAGTATTCATAGTATTGCATAATATTATACATACAAAACCACCTATAGTAATACAATATTTGGGAAAAAAAGTGATGCGTTTTCTATGGCGCTCAGTATATTTGTCCCGGTATGACCTAGTTTGTATCGAGTGGATGTTACACCCCTAACACTTTCTCTTCTCTTCCCAATTGCTCTCAAATAATAGTAACATATCTTACAGAGATGATTGACATGTTTTTCAATTATAAGACTAGAATCTAAACACGCACCAAGCTTTTCACACTATTTTGTGCATGGATACCCGAGTCCGCAATCGTCACTATATACATGTATATAGGTGAATCTATTTTCTGTAGGTTGATTTTGGTTCCAACAAGCGTTATACTTCGTCCCGTCCTAGCTCAGTTTCTTGAGTATCAACATCAACAATCGGGGTATTATCGACGTATGAATGTGGGAGAGTAGATGATAGATGCGACTTGGTTGGTGATTAAGACGAATAGAGATAGAGAGAGAGAAATGGGGTTTAACGTCCACTCGACACAAACTAGGTCATTTCTGGACTAACATATGGTTTAATTTTATTTCATTAATTCGCTTGCGCGTAGGGGTCTTTAGCAGTGGGAGGAAACCGGAGAAAACCCACGAGGTTGGACAGGCAAGCCTACTCCTTGTCACGTACAACCGGCAATTCGAAACCACGCCAGTTGAGTCAATGACAGGCCGCATGATACGTACAGCACGCACGTGCTAACCATTCTGCCATCTCCCCCCCCCCCCCACACACTACTCGCCCCATGATTATCGAACATTGATCCCACATGGATAATGGAACTCTGTTTACTTACCTCATCTTTCTTAGTTCAGCCCCGAATTTGACCAGATTTATTTAATCCTTATCTTATCGTTGCTCTTATCTCTAGTCGTATTCAAGACAAAATCCGCTATTATTATTATATTGGTGTAAAGTACAAACAGGTGGAGGTCAAAGAAAGCACACCCACATTAAAGTAGCTAAGTCTCTAACTCAATATCATCCAAAGTCTTTGAAAGCACGAATTATTTGTCAATTTAAATCAACATTGATGTTGTGATCTTAGCGGGAAAAGATGGGCTTCTGATATCCAATATTTAAGACAAAATAATCATATTACCATTGGTACACGAATCGTGTACCATAATGCTTTTCGGCGCCATTTGTAACAAGAAACTCGAAGAACGAGGCTAGACATATTCCACAAGTCATGTCAAAAGGTGACGCCATATTCTTATCTGGATAGAATACACAATAAATGCTATCGGTGTAGACTGGTATAATCAGATGCTAGAGATTGCCATTCGATTGAGACTTCTGGCGTATTTCGCCGAACATAGCTGATTAGAAATTACAGTAAAAACAGAAACGATTGAATGTAAATCAGTTTATATACATTCATATTACATTATTATATGCGTTGCGACTGACTCTTTTGTGTCATTGTCTAGATCCCAAATATTAACGATATATATTGTCAAGGATTTAAAGCACCAACTTAAAAAATTCCACCTTTTGATTTTACACCAAACGGACCAGCAAATTTCTGGTCGCCAGTACACATAAAAACGTTTTTTTTCAGACGGATAAGATAATGCAAGTTGACAAGCTTTCCAACGCGAGTTTAGGTGGAACTTTTCGCGCGAAATCTTCAGAAAGATATGAACCCCGCTTACTCAATTATTTGTAATACATTTAAGTTGGAACTAGACGTTCGACCCTTAATAACATATACATCTTACAATCTTATTTTAGGGTAAAGTATATCGAGCGGGGGCGAATGAAAAACATCCAATAAGCGATGTATGTAATGGGGGGAACATTTTGTGACCATGTACTCGCCATTTGTTGTTTACTGTGCTTTAATCGCCAACCTAATGACCGAAGGCTACTTTCTTATTTATGCGTTGTCATACTGAATGAACATCTAAGATGAATATATTCAGTAACAAATCGTAGGATGGATTGAGCGGTCGAGTCTACATAGATTTGTCGCGATTTGAGCAGCTGGGTTTAAAATTGAACGGAATTGAAATTGCCCTTATTTATCCGATCTGGGAGATCGTTGCCTGTTTACATTGTGGATTCTATCAATTTCCAGTATGTTCAGTTGCCGCGCAATATGGGATAGGATGTGCGTCTGGTTATCTAACGGACTTCAAGTATACATGCGTGAAAAATGCCTTTCTGGAAACCCTGTATGTTTGTTCTATTTATAACATATACAATAAGTAAGTCCAGAAATAGACCTTCAATGAAATAGATCAAATAGTGTCACTTTTATTGTTTGTATATGGGTTTTATTAATCAAAAATAGATAAACACTGACTATAGAATTATAATCAACACTTACACTATGACAAGTCTATAGTATACACAATAAACCTCAATTTATATTTCTTTACACAGAATAGATAAAAGCTGGGATTTATAAATAGTTGTTTATTCTAGGGGATAAAAGAGATATGCCTCTCTTATTAGTTCGTTGGTATGAAAGAAATTGTCTATAATGGGGTTGGATACAAATATACATGTATGTGGATAAGTGGAAAATAAACTGAAATATTCTCTGATTTGTTAACTTACATTATATAGACCTGAGATAACTATATCCTTGAGTTATATGCAATGGTAGAGACAATATTTACTCAGTCCCAAGATTTTCTGATATCTTTGATGGAAAACAAGATTGATTGCTATGTGAAATAATGTTCTTTTCTAAAACTTTTTTTCTTTATTTTAATTTTTAATTTAGGTTTGAATGATAATTTAAATTTTCTTCATTGTGATAGTGATTATATAAAACTACTCTTTTTATGGTGCTCAAAGTCCGGACACTCGAAATGAGGAAGTATACCCTTAAACTAAATTTTGTTTCGAGTATAAATGGAGGATATCCAAAAAGACCTGATAAAGCGCTTAAGTTACAAACTCTTTTGTTTCTGGCACAAATGTGAATTGAATCATCCCATCAACTGCACTGACAGACTATTGAAGAGAAGAACCCAGTATTAAATTATTTCTCTTAAGAAGGAACAAGTTAATAATTTCATTAAGATGAATTGTAATTTATTACACATGATGATAGGTTATTGAATTTCAGTTGGAGCCAATCAAAATTATTAACTTTGCTCTTTTGAATTTCAACAGCAATAATTTAACAACCTCATCTTCTCTTCAATAATAGCAATGGGGTGTGTTGAAAGTAACTTGTGGGTTGTTTTTTGAACTACTGGAAAATTTAGATCTTTGCATTCCAATATATATAATTAATCAAAATCGCTATACTTTGAGCCAGTTGCATAGTAAGGGTAGTTTAATTTATACCAAAACATATGACGTCTTTCAACAGTGTATTATTCTGCTGAAACTGTACAAGAAAATGGGGGGGGGGGGGCGGGTTGAGCATTTCTGAATAAATTTACTCACAGAATTACACTACCTGTCAAAACCTATCATTTGAATCAGAGACTTATTAATTACATCACTGAATAATTCATTTAAGGTTAAAGGGTTGTACATGTAATGTCATGTCACATTTATGCCGCCCTTATGACAACTGGGGAAAAAAATGATCTATTTTACATTATTGCCATCTGAAAATTACAATGAAATAATATATAAATAATGTTAATCACACACAATGGAAACATCTACCACACAAAAACAATAACTTTTTTAATAATCAGTCAGAAATTTATGATGTAAATCTGGGAAGCTACTTCGCCTGTACATTCTGGACATGTCCTATGCAATTTTCCATACGTCAAACCAGGAATGGGTCTAATCGGACATCAAGATATGGTGAATAATATTCAAAATTCCAATATATATTGACTGTACTGAGTGTATAACAGTTATACTGTATAACTACTACTCATCTTGATTATCATGGTTGATAATAGACTGGATTACACTGTAACTGCAGATTATAGTCATAGAGGTCAAAAGGTAAAGAGGGATAATGTTGTAGAGAAATTTAAAAGCTCACATTACCAAAGACTAAAACCACAAGGCTTTTACATCACAAAAACTATGATTTAAGAACTATTTAAGTAAACATACTGTCAATATGCTAACTGGTATTCTAATAATGTTGGCGGAGTCATCCTAAATTGTTGGACTGACTACTGAATGATCCTGATCCCCAAGATAACCAAGTTCTCATTTGCACTGCCATAGTGAGTTAACATCTGGTTTGTATTGAAAATGTTTGGTTTGTGAAATCTACCTATCGCTGAATTATTGAAAGCAAAAAAATAAAATTAGAGTAAACAGTCTTGTTTTAGAATAGATCCAGTCTTGAATGTGTTAACTTCAGCGCACATAAAAATATATTTAAACACATGTATTTTACTATTTGATATAGGAGAAGCTTACATAATAAATTACATCTAAATGTATCTTTTCGATGTATCTTAACATAAAATGTATCTTTAATTATACCGGTAATTAAAACTTCATTTCCAAAAGTTAGCAGAAGTCAATCCTATATCTACTGTCACTTAATTTATTGGGGTTTTACACCTACGCTTTTCATACATGCCTATTTTGGGGGCCAAATACACTACACAGAAGAAACTATAAATATTAATTTTGATCAAAATAAACCATTTTTTCATTTAATGATGTATTTTCAATGAAAAACAGTTCATCAGTTACAGTACTTTTCTTAACACCTGCTGAATTGAAGTGCATGAATTTAATATAAAACCAAGAAAAGTAATTGACACTTTTTTTTTCTCACATAAATCAAATATGATCTGTCCTTTTAAATTTGGCTTGGCACAATATACTTTACAGTACTTGACACTTTTATGAACTACTCTGAACATAAACTGCTGATTTTGTTAAATGCAAGATTTAGAAGCAACTAATGTCCTATGCTAATAGCTTTGGCATCACCCAATAATGAAATATTTTTTTGGCTGGTGCGAATAATGCTAACAGTAGAGAATTCACTAATACCCCCTTCTTTTCTGACATCTACACTTGTATCTTCTGACAGAGGGAACCCATTAACGCCATATTGCTTTACCCAACCCAAACCCTTAAGCTGAGCAGCAGCAAGGTAACGCTTTCTACGATTGATTTTATATAAATGAATTCTCTCCCTTTCCATATCTGTACCTGTGAGTTCATTTTCCCATCGAACACTTTCACTTACAACAGAAACGTTTTTTTGAGTTTCCACAATATTAGGCATAACAGAGTTCAAAGCAGCAGGTGTTTGTTTCTCATCTGTTTTCTTAGTTTTGGCACTGCCACTGTCCTTCTTTCCAGCACTACCAGTTTTATTTTTAGATTTTGAATTTTTGTTTTTTAAACTTATATTAGATAATTTAGCACTGAAGGAGTCTGCAGACTGTGATTTTGAACGAGGTACAGCAGTTTTACTGTCTGTCTGTCGAGTGTTAGAGAATCTTGAAATTTGACTATCTGTTGACACTGGTCTTGGTGTAGTCTTGCATTTCACAGTTATATCCGATACAGAAAGTTTTGGTAAACGTGGTGTCTTTGTGCTTGAGGAGTCATCTGTGTCATCTAAATGTAAAATTCGAAAATACAAAAGGAAAAACATTTATTACAATTTATAAGTTTTTAAATACAAGACAATTAATGAAAAAAACTTTACAGATGACCCTACTCCATGCCATGTACAACTGGAGAATCGAAACCACGCCAGTTGACCCAATGACAGACCTTATGATACAGCGTGCATGTACTAACCATTTGGCCATCCAACCCACCCTTGAGGCAAACAAAGTCTACAAAAATGGAAATAATGTTACCTATTGTATGTTTCATATGGATTAGGTGGGGTTTTACTGTCAACAGCTGTGTTAGGGCTTCATTTATATTTTTAGAAAGTGAGAGAGAAATGGGGTTTAACATGCACTCAACGCAACCTCGGTCATTTCGGGACTAACATATGGTTCAATTTTATTTCAATAATTCGCTTACGTGCGTTATAATTTAGACATAAACTGAACAAAGGATTTTTTCTAGATTTTTGTTGCAAAAAACAGGATTTCTAAATATTGTTATTATATTAATATCATCTAATCAGAAATCAAATCTGGTTCTATACTTTGCAACGGTCAGGAACCATATCCAGTCCTATAAGTATAACTGACTGCCTTGAATTTATAACAATAACACTAACAGACACTTTATTACAATTTACATAAAAGAAAAGTAAAAGGAAAATCTGCTTTTTCTTCCAATTTCACAGGGAATAATATACTAAATCTAAAGAATGTGTTTACATGCGTACTTTAATAAATTTTGAAATCTCAACAGTGGCTGCTTATCCTTATTAGGCCCTAGTCCCAATTGCCTGTGTCCTTCAAAATGGACTACGGTTTTGTCTAGACTAGAAGTAGAAAGAAAGAGCAAGATTAAAATAGGCCCTATAATAAAATTAATTATTATTACCGTCATTCTGATAACATGTTCCTTCTATTTCCAAACTATTAACATCTTTATGAATCAACCCTTCTTTAGACTCTAATTTTGCTGACTTTTTAGTCTTTTTCTTCTTTTTTGCCTTCTTCGTCTTGTCACTTGTTAAAGAGCCTCTTTTGCTGTTACTGGATTTAACAACCGGTTTTTGATCCACTGTCGGCATTGCAAACACATTTATTTAGCATAATTTTCTGTTAAAAAAAAAATCAGTTTAGCGTAAATAGTTGGTGATGACCCGATTTTGATTCTTATCGGAAACTATTGGTATAAACCTATTTAATTATCCTTTTTTCATTGTTTATCTACCAGAATTCCCAAATATGACACATTTCACTCGCCATGTTGTTTACATCTGCCTAACAACAAACCAACTTAACAAAATATCCAGGAGCAGAAAAATACCAAATAGTTCCTATTTATGGGCATAAGTAATCCGATTTCCACAATATTTAAAAAATAATATTATTTCTGAGTTTGTTCGGGACAACATACATGGTTATTTCTGTTAATGAAAGTACCAGAAACATCAAAAATAAGGACACGGAATGATTTGTTTTTACGCGAGGTTCGAAAATAGTCCAAAATGGCCGACTCCACCAAACCTGAAAATGGCTCGAAATATGAAGCTGATTTGAAAAGGAACATTAATGATTTAGACCTATGGGATGATGATATCAGTGACGAAATATTGTCATCGTATGATTCTGGTATATTCATTTGTTTTAAACTAGGCATATTGATCAGTTAGCACGCCATCTATGATCTAAAAAGAAGAATAGGTCCACTTTTCAGAATTGGACCTTAAAATAGAGTAGTCTCCCTTTGTAAGAAATAATTTAATGTAGGCATTTCCGTGTGGACTAGCCTAGTTCAATCGGTCCAAAACGGCAAGAACCGCAATGACAAGAACATCTCGAAGTAAATATGCGTTGTTTGTAAACATTAAGATGTGATGTCACACGAAGAAGTATACTTGATATGACCCTAAAACTAAAAGTAATCTATCAGAAGGCTTTCTGCTCATTGCCGCAGGCGCAGGGGCCGAGCGATGTTGGCTAAATCAAAATGAGTAAGACTGGCTCGCTAGCCAGGAGGTCGGTGTGGTTTCCCCTTTGTCAGTGGTGCTGGATGGAGAGCCTGACAAGGACAGCTGTCTAGTCATTCGGATGGGATGAGAAACCAAGGTCCTGTGTTCACATTGGAGTGCACGTAAAAGATCCCTTGGCAGTGGGAATTCAATATAAGAGTAGGCAGTTTTACCTTAGTTTCCCTATTTATCATCATATATATATATGATCATATTGTATTTAAGGCAACTAATAGTAATAGACCATTTGCAGACTGTGCAGACCGAACCCCCTTCTTTTGTTGTTGAACTTTCAGTTTATCATGTATGTGCGGGGCATTCTACCTGGAATGTTCATAATCTTAACATTTAAAGTGCTTGGAAAAAAGAGTCAACACAAATTGTATGTCTTTTATATATATATAGTTTATGTTATTTATTATTAAACATACATTATGCAAGAGCTAAATCTGCCTATTGCAGGTCTTTCTTTAGGCCTGAAATGTTTTCTAAATTATTAATTAGACATTAATTAACTGATCCAGGCCATAATTAACTCTCGATAGCATCAGATTTCTCCGATATTAATATATTAGAACGGTTCAGACATATTTTGATTTAATCTAAAAATGGAGGAACGAGACTTAGCTTCGAACAACCAGTACAGTGGTTGAAATTATTGCACACATCTTGTCAAACCTTCAATCAAAGGCTAATATCTTTGCTCGCAATAGAGTAATTTGAATAAAATGATCTATTTTGTAACTATTATAGTAAGAATGGCTAGCTCTTTATCTTAATCTTACATAATGTATCTTTAATATTTTTTTTTTTCAGACATATTATTAATGCCAGATAAAAAACAAAGAACTAATAAAGAAATGACAGTAAAAGTAGACATTAAAGTTTCAACAGATCAACTTGCCCGTCATGGAACCCCACTGGAAAGATTTCGACCAGGCTATTTGTGGGTTTCTGACTTGACTAAACAAAATTGGTGTGAACAACAACTGTACTATTCGTTTACCATGTCTGGTATTATAGAAGTAAACCCTGTCGTACAAAAAGTTATGACAGAAGGATCAAATCTTCACTTAGCAAGAGGTCAAGTTTTACAAACTAAATTAGACAAAAAATTTGTATCTTTTTCTTTTAGCCAATCTGATTACAATAGATCCTATATCCTTTCATCTTTTGCAATTTTTTTTGTCACTAGTTGACAATTACCGTACTGTAGGCCCTATACAGAATTGTAAAAGATGCCAGCGATGTGGTAAAGTGTATAAATCAGGTCTTGCTGTTTCAGGAATGCCAACGATGCTAATACTCCATGACATTCTTAAATTCTGCTACTCTATTTGCTTTAATATTCTGATGAGCAATTTTGGCATTTTCAAATAGCATGGCCTAATAAATAGTTACTGTCGTTCATTCTTTACGACATTGCTATCTGAGATAGTTTTTTTAAGTAAATATATTGCTTTATGTATGATGTTTGGAATTTTAATGGTTTCGATTCCCCGATTGTACATGACAAGGAGTAGGGTCACCTGTCCAACCTCGTGGGTTTTCTCTGGGTCTTCCAGTTTCCTCCCACTGCTAAAGATCTATACGCGCAAGCGAATTAATGAAATAAAATTGAACCATATGTTAGTCCCAAAATGACCTAGTTTGTGTTGAGTGAAGGCTAAACCGTCTCTCTCTCTCTCTCATACCCTCTACTTTTGTCAGCACCAGGGTAATGCTCCCATTGCCTACAAAAAAATAAATATTTGACTGCCCTGTTGGACTGCTCAGGTGACTGTGGCCATGTTATTTGTCTGGCAACCTATCTGTTTCATGACTTTGTTGCTCAATATTGATTTTTCCCATATAACTGTAAAATAAACTCTGTGTTATGTAATGGTGTTATGGTCTGACATTAGAACTAAAATGTTATATTTATTTTACAATTCAAATAAGAATTAATGCAATCAGAAATCAATCAGTAATATGTCAGTCAATGATGCTATTCACATTATATACAAACAAGTCACAACATAACCTTTAAATGTTATTTTATTTTCTAGAGTTGGCAGTACATGATACTGTTCCTGTTAAGGTTACATCAAATGAAGATATATGGGCTATAAAAGTCATCAACTTATTGAATGCTGTCCAAGGATTTCTCAATGGTGTCACACTAGCTCGGGAAGTACCTATTTTTGGAGCTCCCTTTCAGCAGGATGTGTTTTTTGTGGGTTTAATAGATGAGTTACGGTTTGATCCCGAATCTTATAACATTGATTTATTAGAACTAAAAACAAAGGCCTTCAAATCCCCACCCAGTAAAGCTCAAAAATCACAACACAGGCTACAGGTGCTTTTATATAAAAAGCTATTTGATGACTTAGTAAAAGGGAATTTATCAAAAGAGACTGTTGCCAAACATTTGCGACTTGATCTGAAAAGAGATTTTGGCGAGGCTGTGTCACTGGAACTGACCAAACATTTGGTTGAGTTCCAGAATTTGGATGGACTTTTGGACCATCTGTTTCAAAGAATGCAATGTTTGACGTGTGTCAGTCAATTACATATTGAGTATGTCCATCAAGAAAGTAAACAAACTTTGTATCATCATACAGAGGACTATGATGATGATGATCTCTCTAATATTTTCGAAGATTACTTGAAATTTTGGAGAGGTCAAAGGCCAATTGCTGGTGTGGATATTGAAGAAGCATGGAAATGCCAGAAGTGTGATTTTGCTGACATTTGTGAGTGGAGAGCAAAAAAATCAGAAGAATATTCTTCAAAAAATAAAGCTAAAATAAAATAATTTAATAAGCGAGAGAGAGATGGGGTTTAACAGCCACTCAACACAGACTAGGTCATTTCAAGACTAAAATGGTTCAATTTTATTTTAATAATTTGCTTGTGGATATGGTTCTTTAGCAGTGATCGGAAACTGGCAACCCCACAGGGTTGGACAGACGACCCAACGCCTTGTCACCCACCTACAAGTGGGGAATCGAAACCACATCACTGACTCAATGACAAATCTTATGATCTAAAGCATGCACATTAAACCATTTGCCCCCACCCCCCCAACATTACAAACCACACACACTTAATAATCACTGAAATGTCAAAAAAGTTTAAATAATCTTATGTAACATGAAATAATGCGGCATTCTGTGGGCCAGTCACAATTATACTTAAGTTAACATACTGTCACTCCTGCACACCTTATGAAACACAAAAATGGTGCCACCAATTGATCAATGTTCAAATATGGTGTAGATGTTTGTTATGTGAATGTCTTGACCATGTTTAGCAATGTGATTGGCCGAGACTTTAGAACACAATAACTCTAAATGAGTAGGGATGATGAAACTTGGTGTAAAATACAATAATAATTTTCTGCTTTTGTTAAGCAGAGTGATAAACAATTTGATTGCGAACTAGCTCACATCTTTTAAATTCAGACACTGTCATTTTAAGCTCTGTGAATAAAAATAATTGAATTGTGAATTACTTTTATATATTTGTCTTCCAGTTTAAAGTTCCTACTTGATTTTCAGTCCTATTGGCAGTCTCCATAAGTGGCAGCCATATTGTCATTTAATGCAGATATGGTGGGCCACTCAATACCTAAGAAATCTGATGATCTAGAGAGTTTAAGATGGGCTTGTCATGTTAATAACTATCTAAATAATAATTTATATAACATGAAGTCAAAAAAAGGCCTGCAATAGACAGATTTCTTTCTTGCATAATGCATCTTTTAGATAACGGACAGTGTATTACTTCTAGAAGTTACATAACTTAAATAACTGTGCGACCCACCATCAGCATCTAGGGTCCATTTTTCAGAATGTATTTGTTATTATTTACTGTCCATTTACCACACCAGGAATCTTTAAATGTTGACAAACACAGCCGTACTAATCACCTACAAGTGTGGGCCAGTAACGCTCAAAGTTTACAAAAAGTAACCGACAAGGACATGTATTATAGGTAGACTATACATATTCTACACCTTGTGGGCTTAACTTGCCTGGCAATCTATGGAATGTATTTGGTAAAGGTCTAGGTTATGTTAAGTGGACACTGCACTGCATTTCACTGCCAGAGGTGCTGGGAGTGGGAGCATTGTGCTGTTACCCTGTGCGTAGGCCCGTCAACAATTGGCTGTGAACGCAATAGAGGCTATAATTTTTAACAGATTTCTTTCAAATTTGGTTGAAAGCAATGGGGTCATAAATGATAAATGAATGAACCCTATATGATTAGATTTCTTCACTTGCTCAACATCCAAAGTTTTCCTTTCGAATAAGCTGCAGTTGAGACAAAGCTGCAGTCGGGGCGTATTTCACACTTTACGTGGCTATCTTTGAGTTATGATCCTTCCTTGAGGTTAAATTTTGATGTAACTAGACGAGTAACATTTTTAACTGAATTGTGTCCCTTTGGTGATATTGTTTTAGCTTTATTTTTTACGTCCTACTGTTCTGCTCCTATACTGGGCTAATGAAGACGGGCATACGCCATACAGTGTGCTATGAGGGAAATTTTGCCCGGGCAGCGACACTATCGCCTACTCTTATATCGAATTCCAACTGCCAAGGGATCTTTTACGTGCATTCTAATGTATACACAGGACCTCGGTTTTTCGTCTCATCCAAATAACTAGACAGCTGTCCTTGTCAGGCCCTCTTGGGGATCACGTGGACCGAACACAATTTGGCGACCTATTCGGCTAGCGACCTATTCGACCGATCCAGCTGGCAACCTGTTCGTTGGCAACCTATTCAGAATAAATTCAACAGTCGCCCAAACTCATCTATTTTTATCAACCAATCAAATCCAACGTTACGTCTATCAAATGAAAGTAGAATATATTATTATTTATCCATTCCTTTAGCTCAGAATAGAGATGTATTTTCGCATTATCTTACAAAATTCTGGACGTCCAACTAAATATATTCCGAAAGGTAAATAAATAAGCTTTCCAAATATTATTAGTAAAAGTTGGCACAGTCATATTAAAGGGATGCACTCTCATCCTAAACATGGTCAATTTTGAAAAAAAAATTAAAGGGAAAGACTGTTAATGTTAATACCCCGTGTCAAAATTCGGACCATCGTACAAAATTCTGATGATCCAACTAAATATATTCTAAAAGGTATTTGAATAAGCTTTCCAAATCTTATTAGAAAGTTGGCACAATCATATTAAAGGGGTGCGCTCTCAACCTGAACATAGCCCAATTTTCAATATTTTAAAGTGAAAGAACGGTAATATTCCGAGTCAAAATTCGGATCATCGTACAAAATTCTGAGCATCGGTATCACGTGGCTATGTGGGTAACACGCTGGCTCGTTAGCCTGGAAGTCGGGTGTTCGATCCCTTCATTGGCCGAGAAAGTTCATCCAGATTTTCCGGCGTGGTTTCCCCTTGCCAATAGCTGAGTCACAGACCAATTGAATTGAATTAAATTTTATAGAATTTATTCTATCAAATCTATGTGGGTTTTAATTTGGATTTTATATTGTCAGAAATGTATTCGCATTATCATACACTTATAAATGTATGCATCGCAAAATTTGTGGGTTTGTTAGCGGACATGTATTGCTTCATCAATACTAGTCTGATTTTATTTCTGTTGCATCGACGTCATCATTTCAGAGAGGCTTCAATAAATTGTATAGTAAGAAGGGGCTAAGTGAAAGGAACGCAATGGTGCGTTTTTGCTGCCCCTCTGGAGCATTTGACACAAAGGTTAATGTTCAGATTCTGATCTTCATTACTTCATCACCGGTTTGTACTGTGTCTTAAATATTCAACACATCGACTCTAGCAAGTGATTTTAGTTTACATTTTTATTGAAAGTGTGATTACTTTTGATCATTTACAGCTTATTTTCATGATGCAAGAATGACTGCGCATTCACTTTCAGTGCAAATGAACCCATTTGACCTTTGACCCCGAATATCTCGAAAACGCCCCAACGGCGGACTGATTACCACTCGGCATCGTATTCTACGCAAAATTGTACTCTAGAAAAGTTGGGTCTGGTTTTGTGCCCATTTGATGGACACCCCCACCCCCCGCGCTGAGCCTCCAGACTAGCAGTTTTGTATTGTTTCTGAATATCCCCTACTTTTTTATACGCCCATATTTTCATGTGGACGTATATTGTCGTCGCCCCTGTCCGTCCGTCCGTCCACAATTGTTTGTGGCCACTCTACAGGTCACAATTCTTATCTCCAAAAGATCTCGGTTGCTTTCGATATTGGCATGTATCGGACGGAAACTTCATGGATTATGGCCCCTATAGAGGTCACAATTTTCTTCTGATTTTGTTGAAACTTGAAATGTAAGTTTGTAGCCCAAAGATCTCGATTCCTTTCGGATATTCGCTCATATCGGATCATAACTTCCTGAATTATTGCCCCTGATTGTACGAAAAATAGCGTTTTTAGCTTGTGGACCCTACAGAAGTCATAATTTTTATCCGATTTAAAAAACCGTTTAAGGGTTGAGTTCGAATTTCGTAAAAATCGGACCAAAACTGACAGACAAAATGGCCGCCCCTCGTACTCAAATAGCGTAAAAATATGGTATATCAATGTTGTGGACCCTCTAGAGGTCACAATTTTCTTCTGATTTTGATGAAACTTGAAATGTAAGTTTATAACTCAAAGATCTTTGTTCCTTTCGATATTCGCGCATATCGGATAGTAACTTCCTGAATTATGGCCCCTGATTGTACCAAAAATCGCGTTGCAGACCCTATAGCGGTCATAATTTTTATGCGATTTAAAAAACTGTTTGAATATATCACCGTTACACCCTAAGGATGGTTGAGTTCGAATTTCGTAAAAAACGGACCAAAACTGACAGACAAAATGGCCGCACCTCGTACTCAAATAGCGTAAAAATATGGTATATCAATAATGTTGTGGACCCTCTAGAGGTCACAATTTTCTTCTGATTTTGATGAAACTTGAAATGTAAGTTTATAACCCAAAGATCTTGGTTCCTTTTGATATTCGCACATATCGGATAGTAACTTCCTAAATTATGGCCCCTGATTGTACGAAAGATCGCGTTTTTATCTTGTGGACCCTATAGCGGTCATAATTTTTATGCGATTTAAAAAACCGTTTGAATGTATCACCGTTACACCCTAAGGATGGTTGAGTTCGAATTTCGGGAAAATCGAAATGAAACTGCCCAACAAAATGGCCGCTCTTTCTACGCAAATTGTGTAAAAGTATGCAATACGAAGGTTGTGGACCCTCTAAAGGTCACAATTTTTATCCGATTCTGATGAAACTTATCCTGCCTGGCAGCCGCTGGTTTGAAGAGTATAGTAATAATGTTTCACCTTGGTCCCTCATTCGTGAGTGGTCAGGTCTTTTTGTTTATCATAGCGGGACTAGAACGGACTTATCAACCTTGTGCGATCGGTGATCTGCTTTTGCTCCGACAGGTAACCCATTCTAATCAGTGGACGGGTGTTCAGCGGATTGTTGGAATGGTATCCTATCATCTGCTAATTACTTTCGCTTTCAAAGCAATTTTTTGACAAAAATCGGTCAATTTTGATCACGATCTGTACTACAATGGACGGAAAGCTTACTACTAAGAAGAGGGGAAAAAGAGGAGTATGGTGGGTTTACTAATTACTAAAATAAATAAAGGTAGAAACGTCACTTCAGACCGAAATTGAGCACAATGATAAGCGAATGGTCGTTGATGCCGATCCTGTCCACACATAATATGAACAGTTTGGTCTTGCTCAATCAGATTTGTTCTTTCATTTTTATATGGTTGTCTTTTGAGTGAGGACAAAGAATAGGCCGACTTTCTATAGTCCATTATCACTGCCCGGTGACTTTTTTTCAAGATAGCAAACATGTTTTTTTACTACCCAAGAAATACATCATAAACCACCAAATGGCATCGATTTTTCTAAATGTTGTGGGGCGGGAGGGGGGGGGGGATCAAGGGCTTCTGCGGGCGCCGATCTACCTACACTTGACGGTCCACGAAACAAGGGTGCCTTCCCCCAAAAATTTGATGAAAATAGGGTTTGCACCTATGAAAATGACGGGAAAATTTGAATTTTGAGGCTGAATCTGCGATATTGGCGTATTATGTTGTTTGGATATGAACATCCTAAAAATTGGAACCAAGGAATACGAATTCATTCGTGGGCGCCTAACCAATTTCACTCTGAATTATGGGTGCCCCGCCAATTATATTATGGGCGCCCATGATCTCGCCGTGAGATGGACGCTCCTCCGGGATGAGGCACCTCACCATGATGCCGTTTTGGGCACCCCATTGATCAAGTTGTGGGCGCCCAACCAATCTCACTCGGCATTATGCATTATCATCTCATTATGGGCGCACCTCCCTTATAAGGCACCCCACATATCACGCCATTTTGGACGCCCCATCAATCAAGTTGTGGTGTTAATAATTATTGGAAGCTCAAAGTAGGGAAATGAGTCAGTAC